GTAGTCCAATAATAACCTTGTCGTTGAATCTTTTGGACTAACATCTTTGCATTCATGTGCGTTCCACATATACCGGCATGGAGGTTTTCCATGGTTCTGTGTGCTTCTTTCTTGGCTATGCATAAGAGATTTCTCCCCATTGCAGTCCTCTTGTGGAGTTCTCCCCTGATGAGCACATACTGTGAGGTTAGGAGCCTCAAAGCACGGCGTGCCCTTTTATCAGTATTGGGAGGGTATTGTCCTCTTGTCACATAGTTAAGGATATCTACCATGGCTCTTCATCTTCTTCTTGTGGTTCTTGTTCATCGTCGAGTGTGTGAACATAAGATCGACTCATATCTTCTTTCTATGGTCAACGACATTCTGATTGTATCCGTTGGAATTCGCACCATTGATGCTAATTTAGCTAGTGCGTCGGCGAATTGGTTTTCTTCTCTCGGCAAATACGTATATTCCACTTCATCTAGTTGCTCTGTGAGAGTTTCTAAATGAGCTTGATACATAGCGAGACTTTCACTTCTCACTTTCCATCTCTTGGAGATTTGGTTAATGATTAGTGAAGAATCACCATAGATTCTGAGTTTCTTAATTCCCAAGGCGACAGCTGTTTCTAATCCTAAAATACATGCTTCATATTCTGCGGCATTGTTGGTGACATCAAAGTCGAGCTTCATGGAAATTGAGATGTGCTCTTCATTGGGTGATACAAGCAAGACTCCTACACCACATCCTTTTTGGTTTGAAGCTCCATCGAAATAGAGCGTCCAGCTATCATCTTCGGTCATGAGTAAATCTTCGTCAGGGAAATCCTACTCATCTTCTTATTTCTCAACTTCTTCTAGCGGAAAGTCTGCTAAGAAGTCAGAAACCGCAGAACCTTTGATGGCTTTTTGTGGTACAAATTTCAAGTCAAACTGAGCAAGATTGACTGTCCACCTTGATAATCTGCCATTGAGTGTTGCTTTTTCGAACAAGTATTTGAGAGGATCCATCTTGGACACGACATGCACTGTATGAGTGAGCATGTAATGTCTTAGTTTTTGTGCGGCCCATACAAGTGCGAGACACAATTTTTCAAGTGATGTGTATCGTGTCTCATATCCTTAAAGCTTCTTACTCAAGTAGTAGATTGCATTCTCCTTGCTTTCAATCTCTTGTGCTAGCATTGCCCCCATCGTTTCTCTTGTGGCCGTAAGGTAGAGTCGAAGAGGAAAGTCAGGTATTGCTGGCGCTAGCACGGGTGGGTTTATGAAATGGAAATATGGATTTAAGCACTCTAAAAATTAAATACTCAACCTGACCAATAATGGCGGTGGAAGGTTGTTCATCATCGGGTTTGGTTTTGGGGAGACATTTTTAGGTGTCTACAATGACAATTATAATAATCATGTTAAAGCATAATAATAGCAAGATCCTAGGCATGGTACTAACAAGATTAATAACAAACTCTAGCATGTCACTAAGCAATAAAAATCAAAGCTTTAACCCTAACATGATACTAACATGAATATTAGGAAATAAAATAGGAAGCATTCTTTTAATCATACTTGATATTAGGAATTTTTAGTTGTTACCCTAAACATGATACTAGAAGCAATAAAACGTCCTAACATGATACTAGGAATCAAAATAACAATATAAGCATGATTTCTATATCATAATATCAATAAATCAATTAAAGCACTTACTTGGATGCTTCGTACCTCTTTCTAATAACAAAATACACACGTTAGTAACTTCAAGGAAAATAATAAAATCAACATTTAAATTAAATAATTGAAAGAGAGATTCGGGACCAAACCCTCAGAAGTTAAAACCTTTCACGTCAAGGGCGAATGCAACTTCGAATTTGGCTAGGTGTTTCTAGATCTTGTGAATGCGGAATTTTTTATGCAAAAGCTAGTTTAGAGAGAAGAGAGATCAAGAGAATCTTGAAGAGAATATTAGAAAACTAGAGAGTTGATGATTTTTGATGAGAATTGATGATTGAAAACGGAGGTTTTAGGAGGCTATTTATAGAGAAAATCAGCCGGATGGATAAAAAAACGAATCAGAGTTTCGAAGAGAATAAAACGACTTGGCGCCAGACGCCAGACATTAGCGCCAGACGCCAGGGCTAGCCAGACGCCAATCCTAGCTCCAGGCGCTGTACCTATCGTCAAATGCTAGACAACAGTTTTCACACGTTTTCTTAAGTTGATAAAATTTAGCCGTACAGAATGGAAAAATCGTATTTTCCTTAAAAACACTTCTTTTATTCTGATTAAAACTCTAAAAAGTCAACTAAAGTCAATTTTATCAATGCTAATTAAATTAGGAATGAAAAGAACCTTCTAGAAGAATCTAGAAGAATATAATCAATTCTAATTGCATTAGGAATTATAAATCAATATTAGGCCATCCTCTAGATCATTGGGCCGCATATAAACATTATTAAACCGGGCCCAGTTTAGTAATTTGGTCATAACTTCCTCATTATTCATCGGAATTGAGCTTATAATATATCGTTGGAAAGCTCTTTTCGAATCCGACCCAACTACATCATTATTGGACCCTTGCCATGGACCAAACCAAACTGGATTGGCTATTTTCTTAAAATAGGTTTTCAAAAACAGAGAGAAAGAAAAGAAATAAAAACTAACCGCAACACTAGACCTTCCACACTTTCACTTCATTCGATTATGAATCGACGCGAAAGGTACTCATCACCGGGTTTGGTTTTGAGTAGACACAAATGGGTGTCTACAACGTCAAATCGATTCGACGGTTGAGCACATGTTTTGATTGGTGCTGCATCCATAAGGTTCAACGAGACATGGTCCAGAAAGCTCATGACTTAGCTACTATAGCCAACAATAGTCTTTCGTCCTTTAATATTTATATGTAATTTGCTTAAACTTATATCAAAAAATATATATATATATATATAAAATATTACAATCATAAAACCATAAAATATATACATAACCAACCTATTTTAAAATTAGAGTCCTATAACTAAAATCTAACAACATAACCAATACATCATTAGTTATTTATTTCGATGGTAGTAAGAAAATAAGCAACTTCAAGATGAGTTGCCTCGCCAAAATCAAAGTCACCTTCGCCAACTTCAAATACAAGATTTGTCTCAACCTTAGCCCTTCATGGATGTGATGGCAAAGAAATATAATGGCTTTAGCTTTGTCTTGTAATGTAGCTTTATTACCCTCTTTGATTGTTTCACCAAGCCCTTTAGCATCTAGGTATATTTCAACATCTAACACCCATGATAAATAATTCTTTCCGGTAATATCAAGGGCCACAAATTCAAACTTGGCAAGATTTGACCTTTTCCTATTATACAAGATAATATTCAAATCAGAGATTATAAAAACATGATTATTGGTGCTCAACTCATCAAACATGCAATGGCAAAATAAACAAAATATATGTAATTGCTACACCACTCACATTATAATATACTGATAAAATTAAATAAAGTAGCATATATTGTGGTGAAAATAAATAAACTAGTGATCATAAAACCGGCAAAAATACATACAATAAATTAAAATTTACAACCAATTTGGCATAAATACTAATAAGAATAATAGTAATAGTAATAATAATATATATCTAAACACAACTTTAAAGTTCAAACAAATAAAATCATCATGCAACAGTGATAGAGTAAAACTATAAATCATACATTCATACAAAATTACAAATACACAAGGCAAATTTTAAGATGCACCATGGTGCACCTAGAAATAGGTGCACCACGTCTATACTTTTGAACAATTCTTAAAAAATCTGAACAATTGCAAATTTTGAACATGTAGTAGAAACATCTGAACATCGCAAATTTTGAACATTTAGTTAAAAAATCTAAACAATTGCAATGCATCATGCTTATACTTTTGAACATTTAGTAAAAAAACTGAACAATCGAGAATTTTGAACATTTAGTTAAAAAATCTGAACAACGCCATTTTTGAACATTTAGTAAAAAAATCTGAACAATCGCAATGCAGCACGCCTATAATTTTGAACTTTTAGTAAAAAAATATGAACAATAACAAATTTTGAACATATAATAAAAAAATCTGAACAATTGCAAATTTTGAATTATTACGAGTCAGACAAATTTTGAAATAACTCGTAATAATTCAATAGTTTTGTAATATAAATTGAACATTTAATGTATACAAAATGAACATTTCTTAATAAAATATGAACATAAAAATTGCATGTTTATGTTCAATTATTGTGACGAGTTCATATTTTTTTACTAAATATTCATTTTTTGCAAAATGTTCAATTTTTTTTAATAAATGTTCAAAAGTATATTCGTGGTGCACCTATTTCTAGGTGCACCATGGTGCACATAATACTAATTGGTGGAGTGATATTGAACAGTAAAAGGCCAATATATATCCTATTCATAGATTAATATAATAACTGGAAAATAACTTGCATAGCAAGCACTTTGATGTAACAATCACACGTTGAATTGCAGTTCGAACAAATATAAATTATACTAGTTTTGTGCCCCGTGCGATGCCCGGGTTGTTTTTCGAATTTTAAGATAAAATTTTAATCTATTTGTCAAGTTTTAAAATATATCATTGATACAAAATTAGTTAGGAATTGATGTTCTTTTGTGGCAATTTGCTATCTAGTAAGCATGCATTTAATGACTAATAATAATGTTGGTGGATAAAATGAGCATGATGTTACAAGATAGGATAACAACCAATCAAAATCTAAGTATATATCATAAAGTTAAACAGCTAGTAAAACAAAACCACAGATTTAACTGACATGATAATCTTCGCTGAATTTAATTCCCCTTGTTATTTTTTTTTTCTTTCTTCTGATTACAATTTCCATACGCTTATTTTCAGTTCGATGATAATGATAATTATAGGCAATGGGGTTGATAACATATTATGAAAAGTACAAAGAAGAATGAAAGAATAGAGGGCAGAGAGAGGATATAGAGAGAATGTAGAATATCATAAAAACTGTCTACTCCTTAATCATCCAAAGAAGTAATTTATATATACAAAAGTAACTACCAAGTGATGATGAACATACACTATTTTACAACATATCTCATATATTAGGAATAAATTAAAAGATTATCTCATTTAATAAATAGGGTCAAGAATCAAAATGTAACCAATAAAATGAACCGAGGGATATTAACTATTTGAAGAAGGTTTACATATTTATAGTTAGCAGCTAAAATCACCGAGTCTAGTTCATCAGTGACGCTATAATTCTGTGCTCTATTATTACACTGAAGCTTTACAAGGATGAGATCGCCCATCATGGGTTGATAAACAATGATATAGCTTTGATTCAAAAAATTTGCTCTTGTATGTACAACTCCTGGGTATTTAGCACGGGATCCATTTCTTGCTACCAACGGCTTGAGTTGACGACGCGACACTTAAATCAATCATGAAATTTGGTAGAAAATGGCTCGATGAATATGAATTAGTCATCAATACCTCGATTCCAAGCCAAATCTGCAAATACATCGGTTAAATTGTCATATATGAATCCACAACTAAAGAGAAAAGAACAAACCTAACCAAAAATTTTGAGCAGACATGAAATTCCCCAAAATTGCCAATCTGTATAACATGCTTGAACACCAGGAAAGAATGGAGAAAGAAATTCAGTTCAAGCTCTACACAGGTTAAACTCTAATTAGAGACACCAAGTGGAGCATAACCTTGTACTCCTTGCCCCTGACAAAAGCCCCGCTGAGTAGAGGTACACGTTAACCTTGTTCATTTTTTTCTTCACAATTACTTAGCCAAAGGGAGACTTAAGGGTGTGTCTACGTTCTATTCACTTGATTTTCACAAGATAAAACCTATCCTATCTAATTCGAACTTATATCAAACCATTTATAACTTTTAGTTGTAACTTAAACTTAGGTAATCCTTATCAACCTTTTTCAAAACTTATCTCATATGAAATTAGGTGAATAGAGTAGAGCCCAAAAAATTTCAGGTTTTAAATCCTATATCCAATACACTTGCTTTATATTATAGGGAAGGTCTCCATACAACAGTTGAAGGTTTTGCGCAAGTCACTGAACAAAACACAGAATAATGAAAGGATTGTAAATGAATTAGGCCAACTAAGGATAGAGTAATATTTTAATTACAAGACTAGCTTAAAATTAGATTCAATCACTCATAAGCAACATTGAAAAAAATAAAGATTATGCTCAAAACAACTAGTTTCGATTTCCTAAAACACGCTGCTATGCTACTTGGACTCTACGTTATACTTCTTAAGCCTCTTTAGTAAAATTTCTAAAACACAATGACATTGGCATGGACACTACAAAACTTAATTTATGCCAAACATATGGAACATTTTGATGTAATAGTCAAGTTTGACATGTAGACATGAACCCATGTCTTATGTTGTCCAAGCCTACATAACCCATTTAGCCATCTAAGAAAAAGGTAAGGCCACAAAACAAGTCAAGCTTAGCAAAACAAAGTACTACCTCCGTTACAGGTTATGTGCAACGATTTGACATAAAGCAGAGAGGGAAAATGTCTAATCGTTGCACATAACCTGTAACGGAGGTAGTATTATACTTTCCAAGCCTCCTTAGTAAAATATTAAAAAAATTTATCCGTCAATCCTCCACTTTGACTAACTAATTTGAAGTTTGTTCAAGAGCTTTACCATAAATATATTTTAGAACTCCAATGGTTGGGTAATTATTTTATCGACTTTTATGACAAATCAACTTCTCAAGTCATTCCTAGCTACTTATGGTTCCAATGATTTAAGTACTATAAATTATATGTAGACTAAAAAAATTCACACACTATACCCTAAGGGAATGCACACAAAAGGACAGCATAGGAAACAGAGCCCAATCAGTGGACGTGATGACACCTAGTATAATTAGCTAAAAGATGGAAAAGAAAGGATTTAGCAAGTATTAAGAGAAGAAAAATCACCATCAAGTACATCGTCAACAGCCGCATTAGGAATAAGGAGCCCCACAATTCGTTGGCTATCTGTTGTTGTCTCTATACGCACAACACGAACCCGTCTATGACTCTGGCGGGCCTGTTGATTATAATGCCACAGTTAAAAGTGCCTTTGTAATTAAAGTTCAGCAGTGGAGTGACTTGAGACAATTTTAACAAATTTTATCAGTCTGTTTATATAATATACAACAATATATTGGAAATGTGTAGCTTGTTACAAAGCAAAAGCCACTAAATGTATTCGGCAAGGGATACAACCCAAGGCAGTATACGAGAGGTGGGGGCACACCCCTTGCTAAAGTTTGTTATGGGTTTGATTGCATAATAGATTAGGGTTTTAATTATATATTCTAAGAATAAAATAGGATTTTGATTTTCATATCAGGCATCATATTTTCTTGTTATTTAAAAATATAAATAAATGAAAGCTTTGGTTTACAAGTTGAGGTAGGTCCCCAGGGAGCAGTTCTTACACCATAGCCCCTCAACATGGCCAAGAGATGGTGTTAAGTTGTGCGCCTTCCATCTTAGAGCCTTATAAGAACCCTCATTTACAATTATAGATTACACATACACTGCAGTGTTCAGTCCAATTGAAGCATTGAGGATTCCACTTTCGCAAGGAATAAAAATCATTTGAGCTGGTTTCCATCAATTCCCTTCACCTGCGCATCCCAATGTGCTTATTTGTTTTGCACCAACAAACAGCAGATGAGTGGAGGGGAGGCACCATAAAAATCTTGTCTCAGGGGTTAATATTCAACTATAACCATATTAAAATCATTATTAAATAAAAGTGAAAAACAAATAAGATTCCTAAAATGGGCTCAAAATAATAGCAAGGCCCTTCAAATTACTTGATGAATTTTCATTAGCATTTAGCATCATCAAATAATGGTTGGAATACTCTCAAATTCTCAGTAATGTGCTTTAAGTTGCATTGGTCTTGGTGTCTATGGCTACAATACTTCTTTTAAGTGTTTTGGAAGCTTGATTAAATTCAGGAAATACATATCAAAAGTGTAGTAGAATATCTACATTGCAGCAAAATGCTAGCAACACACCTTGAATATCATCACATGGCAATGTTACAGTGTAGCTGACACTGAAGCAGCACCAAGACTTAATTTTACTGAATATGCCCTCTCCCATTCCCCACTACAGCCTACAGCTTATGTGTATCCTTGCAGCCCACATTTATTTCACTACAAATGATCCTAAATGTCTATATTTGATTAAAAGCTTAATCTTGATAACCTTATTCCACTTATTTTAACACTTACAAGCTCCTCCATTTCATACAAGGTATGGTTGTGACCAAGTTTTTTCCAGCCAATGTGCACAGCTCTAGGAAAATCGAAAAAGTTTGTTATTTTAAGCTTAATTGAGGTTCTTATTTAGTTATGGCTTTTATTATGGTGAAAAAGCTGAATTTGAGTCATGTGTATCACGAAGAAGTTATACCTCTTCTCACTTAGATCAGCTTAAAGGGCTTTTAATGGACAAAGCCTTTAATGGACAGGATCCTTAATGGGTAGAGTCAATTAAGTGCCAAAATGTTTTTCCAATTTAATATACTCCTTCCGCATTCAATTATCTGCAACATTTGCCATAATTGGGTGCTACCTATTATCTGCAACAAATTTTTTTTTTCTATTTTTAGTAAAATTTAAAAAGACATCCTTACCCTTACTTTTTTGTTTTAAATTTGTTTAACATATCTTAATTTTACATAATTATATCTAAAACACTCTAATGATTCCCACCAAAATTTAATCCATTTATACCCTCTTACTTCCAAACCCTTTAATCTCCCAACTACCTCATTCATTGATCTTCATTGAAGATGTCTCGATTTTGCTGCCTTTCATCATTTCTGGAGAATTCTCCGGAAATTATTCAAAACCCATCCCCCCTCTTTCATTTCCTTCACTCTCCCTCATGTTATCTCTCCTCTCACTCTTTCTCTCTCTCCTATGAAACCCTAATTCGGTTTTTTTTTACCCTCTCTGCAACTACGAACCCAAATAACAATGAGTCCCCTAAAAACACCACCCCTAAGCGTTAGATCTGAGGGTTACCCTCTACAAGTTGCAACGAGACACTGGTATTCTGAAGCCTGTTCGCCGTTGCACTGATTTTTCTTGTCGTTACACTCAAAAAGATCGGAGCAAAATTAAGTGAATATTTTTCGAGCGATGAGGACGAGGAGAAGACGGGTGCTAATGAGGGTCAAGGAGATCCAGATATGGCCGAAAAACAAGAAATGGGTCCCGTTGTAACTGCGGTGGGTGTTGACAGGCCTTTAAACGTTGTTGCTGTGGTGGAGTCCTCTCGTGGCTCTGATGTGGTGGAGGTTGAAGTTCCTCAACCCCCTATTGAGGTGGTGGTGATTCCTGACTCCCCCATGCCTGGGGTGGGAGGAACTCTACGGTCAGATGTGTCTTTATCTTTACTCTGGACTACAACGACTAGGACCCTTGCTAGATGGCTTACCTTAGGGACAAGTACCCTAATGACTTCCCTCCCAACAGCCGATGAGCACAGCGTAACCATTCCTTAACCCTAACTTATTGCTTTCTTATGTTGATGTTGGTGGTTGATGTTAAAATGGGTTTAATTACCCAGTTGGTTATTTTTTGGATGGTTAATGTTGTGGGGGTTTATGTTGAAATGGGTTTTATTACCCTTGTGTACACTTTGCTGTTTGATGGTTTTTGAATGCTATTGGCATGTAATTTATGGTTCTTGATGATTTGTGTGTGCTTCTGCATACACTCCTTGTATTCCCTCTGCTTGGGTTGTGTACCCTCTGGTACTGGTTGGTGATTAATATGCTGGTTTTACATGTGCATACCTGCTTGTATACTACATGCTTGTACCTTGTGTATGTTGATTTTCATGTTGGATTGGGCTTTTTTTACCATTGTTGATTATTGGTGTATGCATCTTTCTGTCTTTATGATTGTTTGAGTCCCATGCTGGCCAAGGGAATGTATGTTTGTTGATGTATGATGAGGCAGGTGTTGGTCCCCATGTATATTTGCCTAAGAGTTCTTGTTAGTCTATGCCTTTGGATGTGTGATTGAGTCCCTCATTCAGTGTTGTATGATTGAGTCCCTCATTCAATGCTATGTGATTTGCGAAATTCCAAATGATGAAGGGACTCAGTTTGATTGGGATATTTAGGGTGGTTTAGCTCAAACAATTGTCTTGTACGGATGTTGTTGAGGTAACAACCTACAACATACATCTCACTGAAAATAAACTTACCTATCTGATGGAATTAATTTTAAACCTGCATTTTCATACTAAATTGATTTGAACACAAAAGATTTAAAGGCTACAAGTCCCTTATCCTAATCATTCAATACATGACTGCCTCAGAATAAAAACAGGTAATCTACCAAAATACACATAACCAAACCATAATAAGCATGAACAAAAAACAATAGCTTACTTTGACGGAAACAATGGTTTGAGTACTTGTTTGGTTATGTGTGGAAGTCATGCCTGCCTTGAATGATTGTCTTGTATGTCCTTAGTCTACATCCACCTCATACTGAGTGTTTTGTGGGATATCTTGGTTTACTGGAATGAAAAGTGTGTTTAGGTGGTCAACTGCTTCTTGGATGAGTCCCCTTTCACATTCCAAAATTTCTGTACTTGCCCATATGTGGTGGGTGAAGTTGTTGCCCCCCTCCTTTTCAAGAATCTTCATCATGACCCCCTTACAAAGTGATCCATGTATACTTGTTTAGTATAGGATCAAACCACTCATAAGCCTCATACAGTTTGTCTATGAGTTCATCTAATGTAGTAAGGAATAACTGATATTGTAGAGATTGTATGACCTTGAAAAGACCGGGGATTGTGCAAACACCATTTGAATGTTGAACCATCAGATGTGCTGGCTGCAATGAATTCCTCATCCCTAGAAATTTGATGTGGCCTAGCATTGTCCCACTAGATGAATATGTTTTTAGGAAAACTAGGATGCAATTGTCTTTTTATTGTTGGAATGATTTTGTACAGTAGCATTTTCTTGTTTTCATCCTTGTTCATACTCACAACAGCCTTAGTTTCCATAACCCCTGCATTTCTGCTTTTGCTTTTCTTTTTAGCCCTCTGTTGGTAAGTGAATGGGAAGATATCAAACTTCCCATCATGCAACATCTGTTCATTGCAATCATACAAGGGTTTCCAAATGACCCCCATGAACATGGCTTTCACTTAGTATCTCTTTGATTGTTGGCATCTGTAGGGATTTTTTTCCTTTGGTAACAGGTAAAACCCCTCCTTGTCTCAAGGTTCATATAGTACCACTTCTCATCAATGTGTATGTATTGTTACATATCCATGAAAGTTAGGTTACTAACTGCTGGAATTGGGTGAAGATGTTGTAGTGCCCACTTTAGCCTTACCACTTTATGGTTAGATGTTAGTGTTGGATAGTTTGTTGTTGTATGTGTTCTTAACCTGCCTTTTTTTCAACTTATGGAGAAATGAATGTGAAATTTTGAGAGCTGCTACATAACTCCTTTCTGTTGGCCTTTAATATAATGGCACACACTGCAAGAACTCATGTCCTTTGGTTTTGGACCTGTTTTTCCAAATTTTTTGCTTCTGACATCAATAACATACCCTTATGCTATACTTTGCTTTACAAATTTCCAGACCCTAAGTGTTGTACTTCTGTGAATCCCATATTTTCTACCCTGACAGAATCCCCTTCTGAGTTCCCCCTCCTACATGTTGAGTGAAATGTCATCATCCATTTTCCTTTTTGTAGTTGTTTTCTGCTTGTTGGTTGTTGTAGTTGTGGTACATCCCCTTCACTGTTGTTTTCTTCTGCTTCACTGCTGTTAGAATCAACATCATATTCCATGTTCTCATCCTCACTTATGTACTTAAATGGTCCCTCATTTAGTAGTTGTTCTATTCCATGTGGTTGGATTCCTTTTTCTTTCTTTTTTTTTTTTTTTCTGTTTCTGCAGATGTGAAGAAAGGTTAAGTTTTTTTGTGGCTGCTGATGTTTCTGTGAAGTGCTGCTGGAAACGGAACCCTAATGCTGCCCTTAGTTTAGGACTAATCTTAGTGTAGACAGTAAATATTTTGGACTTAGTGCTGGAAGCGGAACCCTAATGCTGCCCTTAGTTTGGGAACAAAATGAATTTTAGAATTTGAAGGGCATGGTGGCTCTTGGTTTGTAATGAATGCACATTGAATGCTTGCTGCCTTTTTATATGAGGCACTTCTAGGTTTAATGGTTAGCTTTAAATTTGAATGATATTTAAATTTGGACCAAATTTTGAAACATTTGAAATTTTGGGTGGAAATGTGAAAATTTGAAATTTTCACACAAAAAAAAGAGAGGGAGAAGTACTTTTCCTCTTCTTTTGGTGACAGATTTCCAACAAAAAAAAAGGGGACCACCTTTTCTCTCCTTTTTCCCACTACCACATGCAAAATTATGTCACATGCACTACTTTCTCTCTCTTATTTCCCTCCTTTTTCCCAACTAAATTAAACACCCTAACTTGTCATTAAACTTTCCTAAAAGTTTTGCCTAGGAGTCCGTAAAAGTTGTCTTTGTTGCAGATAATTGAAACCGTAGGGAGTATAAATAATGCAAAAATAGTTACATAGATAAATTTGTATTCATATGTTCTTAACAATGGCTTTCTCCAATATTTATTTTAATTGATATTTTGTTGGCCTGCCTAATATTGATACACTACTGACCCGCGACCCACGTTGCCCCGACCCGCTATTGACCATATAATGCGATCCTTTTTTACCCGACCTCACCCGACCCACCCAATAACTGAGTCTATTCTCAATCAGCAATGATTAAAAGGAATGTGCAACTTGGTTTAGAAACACAAAACCATATAAAATCCCAGTATTTTCTTCTTTTCAAAGGGTCGATGGGGCATATGTTATTAAATCAATAAAATTTCTCTCATCAAACCACTATTACTTCCATGGAACATATCAACAATACATATGAGTGTTTATAATTCTCAAAATTATCTTTAATTGCTCAAGAGGGGCAGTTAAATCTAGGACCTCAGGTTGCACTTTGTTGGATTGAAGGAAAATGGAAGAAAAGGAAAGGAAGGGGAAATGGAGGGATGAATTATCTTTCATTTGGATAATAAATGAGGAAGGGGATAGGAGGGGAGAGAAATTGATGGATTAAATTGTAAGAAATTGATCTCTCCGACAATGAAGAGATTTAGAAGGAAAACTCATCATTCTTCCCTCCCTTCCCCTCCCTCCCTCCCCTTCTTTTCTTTTTCCTTTCTCTATCCAAACACACTGTAGGTGACAATTCAACAACAAAAACAAGTCATCACTGCGTAAGAAAATTTGGATATGTGAAACCTAGAAAAGGGAATGATTTACAAACTACCATGAAGTTTGTTGAAGCTCAAATATGTTCAGGTCAAATTTCAAAGAGTGTATGTGCATACACAGGTATTAAAGTAAATAATGTGTGATAGGTCATTGCAACTCATTAGTTATTTCTCTATTTTGCATTGTTGATATGTCTATGACTTTCAGGAAAATCAGTACCTGTTTTGATAAGGCTTTCTCAATTGCATTCCAAATTGGAAGGATCAGGCCACCCAAAACATTAACTTCTTGCAGTCTTCTTCCCACAGTACAATAGCTACCAACCTTGCAATTGGGGCCATGCATACACTGCAAAAAATAATATAATAAAACAAATTAATTAATCAAAATAGGCACTTGTAATAGCTTCATGATTCATAAACACTTTTTCCCCTAAGAATGTGTACATGAGTACATCTGACCCCCTGTTATGAGGCTATGATCTTAAGCATATAAAGAAGTGATCAAGAAAATGAAACCAAACAGCAAACATAAAAGGAAGAGAGTGAGGCGAAGAAACAATGTAGCAACCATTTGCAAGTAAACATTGTAAATGTGTCTCAATCATGCTGGAAGATGAATAAATACTAGACAAAGACACGCTTCAAATGAAAATACAGCAGTGATGCCAAAAACACCTCTCAACAAAATTTAGGATTATGATTTATAAGGAAATCAAAACTTATCAAATGAGCTACAAAATTTTCCAATCTATAGTCTAAAACAACTATACTGACAAGAAAAAGGTTTAGAAAAGGGAAAAGACAAAATAGAAGAGTGTGAGAATTGGCTGCTTGAACCTCGGACAGGCTGTGTTAAGCAGATTGGCGGCAAATTAAAAGTTTAACCATTCAATCCGCTAATTTGAGGTGTTAGGATTGGCGGTTGGGAAGAGCAGATTTGACTCAATCCGCTGATTTAAAAAAAGCTCCTCATATCAGCATTTTCAAAAGAGAGGATTTGTTCAATTGCTAAAATTACATTCTTGTCCATATTTTATACTACGTATAATTGAACAAATTAATTAACCGATGAACTAATGATTTACAGAAGAAACAAAAAAACATGAAGAATAACAATTAATAAATCCATAATAAACTTTGAAACAAAAAAGAAAAATAATCAGTATTTACCATAAGTATTCAAAAACACATACTTCCTCCGTTTTTTTATACATGTAACACACCCTTTAGCACGGTAATTAAGAAAGTAAGCTAACAGCATATGCACATGGTCCCCCAAGTAATGTTAATGAGTCTAATCAAAGATTAATTGATAAGTGAGTGCTTCCCACGTCAGGTTAATCAATCGCATAAAAATATTATCCCCAAATTAATTTTTTGATTCTTTCAAATTGTAGATTAAAATCAACCGCATAAAAATATTACCCACAAATTAGTGCATAATATAATTTTGAGGAAATTTCTATTCCCAAGTCAAATGCATACAAATCGAAGTAAAAAGAAAAAAAAAAATTCAACTTGTTGCATCCTAATTTGAGCTAAAACATGCCCAGTAGTTTAAATTAGGAAAACCTTTAAGCATGGTCTCCACGCCGTTGTTCTTCTTCGCCAACTCCTTCTATATCTTATGGTAATCTGATTTTGAAGAACACAAAGAGAAATTGAAAGATTACAGTGCAAAACAAGGTGAGTGTTGCAGTCAGCGTGTAGACAAGAATTTGCCCTGCGGTTTCCTACGCTCGCAAGCACAACTTGCCTTGGTTCGCGATGAAGCCAAAGGGCCAAATGACGGGAATTCAGGGAGAGTTGACGAGGGAAAATCGAGCCACATCTGAAATTTTAGATGAGAGAGAAAGTGTGATAATGATACTAGGGTTCTTCAATGTTCATGTGAAGTTGGAAGAAAGTAGGTGAACAATCCACAAAAATAAAAGATTAGTTGAAAATACAGTTTGTTTGTTAATAAAAGGGAGGAAAGGATTAGTAATAGTAATCCTTCCTAATTGATGTTAGGTAGTGGGTGGGTGTTTAGCAGTTAATGAAGTAAATAAGGGGTATAATTTAAAAAAAAATTAAAAAAAATTCCTTTTATTGTGTGTTGCAAATATTGTGACATTTCCTTTTTAGGAAAGTGTTGCATATGTTAGAAACGGAGGAAGTAATTTTTTTTTTCATGGAATTTTTTCCATCTATAAATATGCATGTTGTTTCGGGTATTTTTTTGATTTCCTCGGTTACTGGTCGCGCTCTCCAGGCAATGAGACTCGGACACCTGCAAAATAAACGAATATTCTTTTACCGGAATATTCGCCTCCAAAAGTTAGAGATCTGAACGGAAAAGGCTAGAGAGAGAAACTAAGGAGAAGTTGGAGCTATTTAATGCTCTTTTTTTATAATGTCGTAATCCACCCCTCCCATCATAAATGATTGGGGTATTTATAGGGGTGGGAGTTTGTGCCTCTCTAGGGTTTGTACCCTAAATTTCTGTGACATGATTTGCTGCGCAATAAGAAGGTGCCATGTGTAATACGGGGTCGCCGTTTTGCGGCTTTCATGAATATCTCTCGGGATTTGGGCCATGATGTAAGAAGGACTTTTTAAATGCTGATTTTAGGTGCTCTTTTGAGCCTTCTCTTCTTCCCATAGTGACACGTGTCGCCCTTTAATTGGTCCACGTGTCGCTACGGGATTGGCCCACGTACATGGGGTATTTTTACCCTAAATATTTGCCCCTCATAGGGGGTGGCTCGTACGCTAACGGCCACGTCCTCTGAACTTTCGCTTGTCTTGAGGCGTACGGGTATATGGAGATTGGGCACGCTGCTGAGGAGGTGCACAGATTTGTTCCCCCCTTTTAAGTTGGTCGTCTTGGCTGGCTAACTGTCTTTGTCCGCCTGAAACTCCTCTTTGAGAGTTAGGCGGACGAAGCATGCCGCCTGATTTTTCGGGAAAGAGATCGGACGCCTGGATTTTAGGATGGAGACCTTAATCTTGTTTACTTAGACCGTCTATTTAGACGCGCCGTTATTCGACCGTCTATTTCTCTGTTTTGAATTCTAGGTTAAATTTTCAAATTATAACTGTTTGAATTACGTAGGTGGGAAAGATGAAGTGGGTGGCACAGCCTTGGGCTACCTTAATGACGGGTTCGATGAGTACAAGGAGCTAGGAAAGGGTTTTAAGCCGGTGGCGCCAAGGATATCTCACTCCATGACTGCATGGGAGGATGAGCGGTCGCGCCGCAAAGCCTTCTGCTTCTATAGGGCCGCCTTAGACGTTGGACTCCGCTTCCCCCTTCACCCCTTCGTCCGCACCGTCCTGGATGAATACAATATTGCTCTTTTTGAACATTTTTGGTACTTAGTGACGTGCATCCACAAGGGCTTTAAGCCGGACTTTCCGATCTTCTGTGAGATGCACTTTATGACCAAGCTGGAGAAGCACATGGACGGCTGGTTCATCCTTAGCACCACTAAGGATTATATGGTGGTGCTTGACCGCGTCTCCAACTGGCGAGATTGAAAGAATCGTTTCTACCGCATCAAAACTAAATATGTTGAATTTAACTTGCGGATGAACCGATTCAAAGCCAAGCCGATCCAGCTTGGACGAGGGGACCACAAGCCGTACAAGCCGCCCGTTCACCCCAACTTGACTACTTTAGAGTCAATAGGGTGGAGAGGGACGACAAAATGGTGGTCGTGCCTAAGAACTGGGTTCCTTTGTCCACTTGGCTTAGGGACCCAACATTCATGTCAGCCTACGGCCTGTACAAGAATTTGCCCCGAGGTGGGATGCTTAGATTTTTCTTGTACGCACATTGTTATTTCTTCTGAAAATTTTCTAACTATTTTTCTTTTTCTATTTTGCAGCGAAAGCATACGCCATGCTGAACAATGAGCAAAAAGGGGAGATAGACAAGGCGGAGATTGACTTGCCAGATACAAGGCTCGTCAAAAGATGTACAAGCAGACCAAAGAGGTATAAATTTCTTTATATGGGTCTTTCGTTCGTCTTTCGTCCGTGTTGATAGGCTGGGAGGAGGCTCCTTCCCTTTTTCGCACGGACAATATGGGAAAAGCCTCCTAACTGAGTCTACACGGACGCTGGTAAATTTCTTTATTTTTGTTTCACCAACTTTTACTTGCTTTTTTCCACCCCTAGAGCTAAGCGGAAACAATCGTCCTTGGCTGCAAAGGAGGGGAAGGGCAGAAAAGCGTCCAAACAAAGGAAGACGGTCACATCCAAGACCCCTTTCGCAACGGCGGCGAAGATAAAGTTGCAAACTGCTTCTAAGCAGTCTAGATGAGAGCCACCCCGGCTGTGTGATAGCGAGGTCTCCAAGTCCGTGGATTCGGCCGCTAAGCCGGTCCATAATGAGTCCGTGAAAACGGACGACGGGGGTAAGTCGACGCCGGCTAAACCGACCGGCCTCATCTCGACTTCGCATGTCGAGAGAGTTTGAAAATCTGATTGGCTTGAGTATTCTCAAGTCGTTTAGTGATCAACCCGGCCGCACAGGTGAGGAGAGCGATGAACCTATGCCGCCTCCTCCATTCACCTTCAACACTCTTTCTCCTCCGAGCTTCTCGGACGATTAGTTAAAATAACCTTATACAATCTCGTTTTTAATAGAAGTCTTATTGCTCAAACTAAAACCCTTTTGCGATCGTGTGTAGATATTGCGGAGGAGGTTAACATGAAGCTACCCGGCCAGTCCCTTACAGCAGGAAGGCTATGCGGGAAACCATGACCAGACCTGTCCCCGCCGAGTAACGAGACAAGTTGCGGAGGATTCATGGGGGCTTCCTCGGCCCTATGATTAACTGCAACGCCGAGGTAACGTTTTACAACCCTTTACTCTTTCATACTTAGAGTATTTCCTTTATTGTTTTGCTAACTCACTTTGTCTTGTACGCAGCTCTTCCTTCGCCTGAACGCTTTCCTTGAATGGAAGGAGAAAGAAAATGAGAGGCTGAAGAGGGCTTGGAATGAAGTCCTGAAGGCCCAAGATGTTGTTATTGGGACGGCCGCACTCCAACTCACCTATTTCGAAATCCAGATCACCGCGCTGTCCGATAAGGCAGCGCGGCAGGCCGAGGAAGTAGTCAAACTGGGTTAGGCTCTTGAATAAGAGTCTTTGGCTAGGGATACTATGAGGTAGGAGAGGGATGCGGCCATCCTGGACGGCCAACGCTGCAAGGAGGGGTTCAAGGCCTCTGTGAAGCTGAAGGGGGACGTGGCCCTTGCCCAACAGAACCTCAAAGTGGCCTTAGATGAGGCGGATGCTCCAGGGCCGAGATGAAGACTTTAAAGAAGTCCATTGCGGACCTAACAAAACAACTAAAAGCGCCTCGGCCGCCAAAGGAGGTCGTCTGCATCGAGCACAACATCGAAGAGAGGTTGAAGAGCCACTTCTTTGAGGCGTTCGAGCTCATGGTGGAGGAAGGGGAGGCCGCCTATTATCAGGAGCGCTTCACTAAGCGTCTCAACTTCGTCTGCCTCAGGGAAGAGGCTAAGAAGGTCAGTCAGCCTTCTCCCGGACCGTCCTACAATCTATTGCCATAACGGACAAGTATCCCCACATACGACACCAAATATTTCGGGTATTTTTTGGATTTCCTAGGATACTAGTCGCGCTCTCCAGGTAATGAGACTCGAACACCAGCAAAATAAACGAATATTCCTTTACCGAAATATTCGCCTCTGACGATCAAGTTAGAGATCTGAACGGAAAAGGCTAGAGAGAGAAAGTAGAGAGAAGTTGGAGCTATTTAATGCTCTTTTTCTGTAATGTCGTAATCCACCCCTCCCATAATAAATGATTGGGGTATTTATAGGGGTGGGAGTTTGTGCCTCTCTAGGGTTTGTACCCTAAATTTCTGTGACATGATTGGCTGTGCAATCAGGAGGTGCCACGTGTAATACGGGGGCGCCGTTTTGCGGCTTTCATGAGTATCTCTTGTACAGCGTCTTTCATGAATATCTCTTGAGATTTGGGCCATGATGTAAGAAGTCCCTTTTTAATGCTGATTTCAGGTGCTCTTTTGAGCCTTAGACACGCGTCATCTTCCCATAGTGACACGTGTCTCCCTTTAACTAGGCCACGTGTCGCTACGGGATTGGCCCACGTACATGGGGTATTTTTACCCTAAACACGTGTTAATTGAAAAAAACAAAAAATATCATCAAATAGTTAGTTTCTTCTCTTACCTCTTACTTCTATTGCATGTTAAGTTTCCATTGTAAAATCCACAATTAAACGATCAAATTTGAAAGGAAATACCCATGAATTGTAGAAACAAGAATAGGAATGATAGGAAGTTTTAACATAGAGTACAGAGGTTGGGAATTTAGATGGGCAAATTAACATACGAAGGAAAATCCTTCAAAGAAAAAAAAAATTAAAAAATTAAAAGAGGAAGAAGATGGTTCAGTTGTGCGGCCATTTTGAAAGGCTTTTATATTCCCTTCTTTTGTAGATAGAATTCACCTAATGGGCTTTTTTAGGAGGGTTGGGGTCACTTTTTTTTCTTTTTTTTTTTTTTTTAGGGGAGGAGGGTTTGGTTCATACTTCACTGAGTTGTATTTGGTACTTAATTTACTATTATTGTAGCATTCCACACAAAATTAACAATAAAATAAAAAAAATAAAAAAATAAAAAACTATTTACTATTTTATCAGTAATCAGATTTTTATCAGTAAACAGACTCCCATAAGAAGTTGCATAAACAAACAAGAGTTTCAGTTTTGTAATTTTTTTATTAATCTCATAAACAAGAATGAGAATTAGGACAAAAATAAGCGAAGAAACAAAAAGAGAGAAGCTCTCAAATCTCAATGTGGGAGGGTTCTCACACAAATCATAAGTTGTGCAAAGAAACAAGTACGGAACTAAAAATGCCAAAGCTCACTTTCATTAAACGAATACTAAGCATGTTTTTTATAGGCTTAACACAGGACCCTACAAAGGTCCTAATAGGTTTAGGGTTATTAACTCCTAACAAATCAGATTTCAATGTCCTAATCACACATAAACTGTGAAAATAATATAATGCTAAAATTAGTTAGAGTCATAAGTTGACTTAGTCAAATTTTGACCACTGAACAAATCCTATTATAAGTAGATATAAAAAGCAATTCCTAACTTATCTAAGGAAAAGCAAATCCTGAATTAGCTAGATATGGAAAGGCAATTCCTGAATATTTAGAAGCTGAAACATGGACAATCCACTATGGTAAATTATATCAGGATAATAAAAAATCAAATCACAACAGACCTTATTAAAATTAGACCACATCTCCTTGTTTTAGGTAAAGAGAACAAGTTCTTAATTTGCTAAATATTTATACAATATATGACTAAATCTCCTGTTCTTTTTTTCACTAATCCAACAGGAATTAATAATAATATTATAAACTCCCTCGATCCTTGATTACTTGCATCATTTTGACTTTTTACCCTATTGCTAATATATGAAACAAATGTTAGTTCGTACGGTGATGGGTTTACCATAATGTGTCCTTTCACAATATTATAATTCCAATATTTTTACTAATAGAGAGTTAAAGGTACTAATGGTTATGCATGGGCAAACATGTTTAGTCGGGTAAGTGGGAGTAGTTTTATTATTCTATTCATGTTAATTTCTTTGACTAAATCGGTAAAATGGTTTACGATTCACTTGTGCTCCATTCCTAACTACTTATATTGAGATTAATTAAATTGAGAAATTTATGTTATTAAGATTAATTAAACATAATGAAATATCTTGACCATAAAAAATCTGAAGCAGATGGACATTACAATTTCTACCATATTTGGATGCCAACTTGCTTAGTTGGTTAAAGTCAATCCCGTCTACATCATAACCCTTCCGACTCTCTCTACACCAAAAACATAACAATTTCTACTACATCAATGCCATAAAAGTCAGAACGAATATGGACCAGTTGCACTTCACCTGTCTTGATGAAACTTCATATTCGTCTTCCCAACCACTACGAGCCTTCTCCAGAGATGAAATCTTTCTATACTTATTTTTAAGCTCACTTAAAGGCATTTCTCTGGACAAACAAAACAAGTGTCATTGATGCATAGTTCTTAAAGTAAGAGGTACAAGCAATGTTCTGATTCATAATTACCTTATCACCTCCCCAACAGCAGGACGGACTATCTTAAAGAAGCCAGAGGTAGAGCTGAATAAACAGCAAAATAACAAACAAAAAGAATTAATTTAAGGAGTTTTATCGTGCAAGTTATACCAGGAATTCAACTTCAACCATTAAGCCAGACAAATAACAAATTAGAAAACAAAGACAAAAAAAGAAAAAAGTAAGAAAAAGACGGACAAAGTAGGACGTAATTCAAAATCATTCAATCAGATTCGCATGAATACCCTTCAAAAGCTAAAAGGAAGTGACGTCTTCCAAGCCATTCCCTCTTGGACTCATAGAATCCATCATGCGTTGAGCCAAGACTTCCCTTTTGCTTCTCATTGAGCAAATTAGAAGCAAACTGCACACAACAATGTTATGTGAGACATCAACAGTTGTCAACAAACACAACGCATATCATACAAATGCTCGAGGTTACCTCCCAAGTGGATCCACGATCAAGAGTGAAGGTAAATAGCACTGTTGATGCGCCAGACATTTGATCCACATGCACAGTCTGAAAGAAATAATGGTCAATAACTAGATATACAAATCAAAGGAACAGGTGGCCATAACAAATGTATAAGATAGAAACCTTTGGTTTTCCTAGTAATTCAATAATGTTAGCTTTAATGTCAACAATCCCAGAGTCAAGATTCCCTTCTGTTCGGGCATTTTGAATTATTACATCAAGAACACTGATAAATAACTCAAATATCCTGCAATTAAAACAATTACTCATCATTTACAAATATAGTCAGATATAAAAAGTACAACTCAAACAAGTACTTATGGATAAATATATGACCTGTTCTGGATCTCAGGAGGCAGTCCAAGAAGTCGATTAAGAAAACGACCAACATCATGCATGTCCGAGTCAACTATACGTGCGGATATCTTTCCAGATTCTTTTCCATTAACTTCAGAAGTAAATAGTCAAAGTCAATGAAAATTTAAAATTTAAGACAACATTCCACCAATCCCCTCTTCTCTTTTCCCCTCATCTATTTGACATAGTTAGCTCCATTAATAGACTTGCAAATTCAGTTCGCAAAAATTGAGTATATTGTTAGGTTATAAAGTCATTGCCAAGGAAAGTCATGAAACACTAGCACAAGAAAAGATCTACGGCGGAAAATTGCAAGTTAATGAAGTAAGAACAAATGGCTTTATACAAGAGATATCTGAATTTACATACAACTCTAACCATAAGACTATTGAATATCAATCGCTTTCCAACATGCTGCATAAATTAGCCAAGAATGCATTCCTGCGAAAATTTTGGTCCGTATCTCTCATACAGCACAACATTTACCTTTAAATGCTTCATCAAATACAGATAAGTGGATCCACATTTCCTGAACATCCTAGATACATTGAGAGTCACAGATAAAGTCCATAATACAGTGAAAACAAAACAATCCTGAATTCACTATGTATCTTGTAAAATTAAAATTATCAGGAAAGTGGACATATACAATAATTAGCAATATTGGTGCCACTGCAAAAGGTGTCCAACTGTCTGCAATTGTTAGCTTCTATAAGCTCACAAAACATTGATCCTGCCTAGGCAAGAGTGTCATGGGTGCAAGTTGTCAGAGCTCATGTGTGATATAAGACATAATCAGGTGAGCATGAACTCCTCATATATGATACAAATTGCCAGATGAGAATAACTAAGACCACAATAAATGCTTTATAGATGAGTCTAGATTAGAATATGAAAATATTTCCAAATGATAGCACAATCACATGTTCAAATGATTGTACAGCTGATAGAAAATCGCTACAAAATTTGTTCCTTAGCCGTTTTCAGCTAAGTACACAATATCGATAATTTGTAAGGACCAGCCTTGGCATATGATTTCTCATGCATTAAAGCTAGTATGTGTGCTAGTTATAAAGGGTTAATTGCAAACAAAGAAACTTGTTCACATTTTTTTGACACAACTTAAAGAATGAACAGCTTATGGAAACTAATCACAGTTGTTAAATTATCCTATATGCTTTCAGTTTTGAACCATCTACTTATGAGACAAATACAGTTCTTAATGTTTGAGATTGTCATTTTTACATACGAATAAATTTGTTTATAAAATATCAGAACGAAGTAGGCTAATCATGAAGGAGAGCAAATATTAAAGATCACTACAACTTAAAAACAACTGCTTTCCAGTTTTTTCTCCGAAAACTTGGTTGCCAATTGCTCCACCAAGACAAAAAAAAATTTAGCCACATAACAGAATCTATTTCTCACCCAGAGTCCCGGAGACACCTAGTCGTAGTTAGACATCTAATTTCAATACTAACTCATCTAATGTGAGGTCCATTTCGCATGAAATGCCAATATTAAGGAAATCTATTCAAGAACTATGCAACTTAGCAACAGTAAAACAAGTCTTAAAGGCTCATACTATATTGTCTCAAAGTTGCCTCAGTGCAAAGGCTGAGTTCCATCAAATGATCAAACTCCTTAACCCCATTCAGCACTACAGCAGCGTAACACTTTATTATATGCAGCTACAACAATTAAAGATCTCCTGAGTGAAGTATCATACACAACTATGCCATAAGCCCTTTTTTTCCTATTAATCTAGATCTGCATACATCAACAGGTGAAATGGAATAAATCATCAGTTACCAAAGACCAAAAACAGGAAAAAGTTACCTGTGTCTCTAACAATGCCAACAGAGACCAGAGCAGCTTTTGCCTTGGTTATAAAATCTTGAATTGATTCGGACCTTTCACTTGAACATCCAGGGGGTACAACTGGCAATGAATCCTGTTATTCCAAAAAAAAACATCACAAAGTATTAAGGTAACAAGGATCAAGGTCAACCTAAAGTATAGCTACATAGATAACTGAAACAACAGAAACCTGCTCCAAAATTCCTTTATACATCACCATAAGAGCCCTTTTCCCATAAGCACTGTCATAGTTGTATTCACTTAATGATGGCCCTGCCCTGCAAGACAAAGCAAGTGTATAAGAGAATGTTCGGTTCATTGAGACGGCAGAAAAGAAATTTTATATACCTCCGGTCCCCCTGTGTCAATGCTCCAAGAGATTCTAGCCTCTTTGCAACAATAGACGCAAATCGCCGTTCACCACCAAGATTAGTAAAGAGGAGTCTGTAAGCAAAAGAAAATAGATAAATTCATGAATAATATAACACTCCATAATTATCAATTGCTGAACATATTTTCCCATAGAGATCATATGCCAATAACAGAGATACTATACAAGGGTAATGATATATGTAGCCCTTATGGCTATATATAAGCATTAAATATACTTCCCAAAACGGAATTAAGTTAGGAATTCATGAAAAAATCATGTGTAAATCGGTGTAATTAATGTTAATTTATTATCAATATTTCCTTTCTTAGCTTCTTATACATAGCCTTTAGGGCTATGTTTATCATTATTTTCCATTATACAAAGGCACAGTGACAAGTATAAAAGTTGACCATCAACAGTACAAAAAAATCCAATAGTAAAGCACTAGAGACATCAGTTCATTGATGCTAACAATAAAGAAGTTTTGGAAAAAGTGTGTGTGTGTGTGGGAGGGGGGGGGGGGTGTTAAAGTTAGCTTAAAATTATAATCATCACATAAAATAAAGGAAATTACTTAAATAGGAAAATAGCCTTAGAAGTAAAAATGGTTTTAGCTTACAAGAGTTAACATGTTTGAAACCAATTGTCCAAACAAAATTACAATGCAGCTGACAAACAATTCCATAAAATAAATAGATAAGATACAAACTAGTTATCCTTTTTCTCCCCACAGCATCCCTCATACCAATAGTTGGACATAGAAGTTTCAGCTTCAAACCAATAGTAGTTGCAAAAAAGTAAGTTGAAAATTAAGTTGAATAACAAACTTATTATTTAAAGAGTAAATCAAAATTCTAATCTCGACACTACATGATTTGTAGACTACACCAAGTTGCAAGAATAAACCAACAAAATTTAGCTTTATCATGAAAAAACTCTCCAAGAATTATAAGGATACATTAAAACAAACAATAACAATATGGAGAGTCCATAGCTTAATATTAAATTCCACACCATACAAGTATTAAAATTCATTTTGCACAAATAAATCATAAAATTATTTTGCTTAACATTACATAAAAGAGATTAGATAGACAAACAACATATTAAGTTAACATCCTTATCTACCACACTTCACACGAAGCATAAACCTTCTAGACACATTGGAACATCACTCTAATAATATTATGGCAATCCTAGTGAGTAATGCACTGAAAACCTCTTTCAAAAGTAGTGCCAAAATTCAATTTAAAAGTAAAAGAATAAATCATATTCTTTAAATCAAACAATAAAAAAACAATTCCCTATCCGTAAGCCTAAAATCCTTAGGTATTTTTCTTAATCTAAAGACATACCCTCACTCTCATACCATGTACATTCAAGATTAGTTTTGATCTTTCCTAAATCACTTGATTGTACTACTTTCCTGGCTGACATAAAATAGATGCAGGGCCAAGAGAGAGGATACAAAGGGTTCTGAATTTGATCCAGAAACTATAAACAGGGTGCAAGGTGGCACATAATAATCAGGGTACGTAGGATTTAGAGACTGCTGCACTGACAGGGTGAGAGGAGAGCATTTGTTAACTAGTAACAAAGGCGACACGTAACAATCAGGGTGCATGGGATTTAGAGACTGCTGTACTGACAGGCTGTGAGGAGAGCATTAGTTCATGTTAGATAGTAAGGGTGTGGCCATATGAAGATAAGTAGAATAAAGCATTGTATGATTAGAACTCTTCCCCAAAACATAACCCAGATGGATACCTATCTGGCCATTCACCAGCTACTTATGGTCTGCGTGCACTTGGGTGCATGGTATAAAAATACGCCCATTACGTCGCAAACCGGCCGGTTTGTAATGGATTTCAAACTTACCAAACCGATATTTCCCGATTTAGCACATGTTACAAAAGGACGACATTCTGGCCAATACAACCGGTATGAACTGAATCTCATCCGCATCGAACACTATTGACTAAAATTCAGTTTAATTTTCAGAAGAGTTACTTTTAGACAAAGAGAAAAGAAATGGAGAGACTCTATTGAAACCGATGAGTTCTTAAATCTAAACCAAAAGAAGAGTGAAAGTAAATTGTGGGACAGCTGAAACGAGATAGTCAAGTAGATTTGAAGTAATAGGTTTGGTAGGGAATTTTTATTAATTTATCTTATTTTATTATATTCAAGTAATAAGTTGGTGGGACAGTAGAGGGCCAGCGGTCACTTGTAATGACAGGTGGCCTTTTTTGTTTTTTATTATTTGGTTTTATCTTTACTGTTGTCAATGGGTAAATAAAACACAAACAAGCTTTGGAGTAATAGTGTAATACAGAGTACGTAACTATGTAAGGTTTTGGTTTGAAAATAATTCAACTTAAAACCCAAATAAAAATTTATTCAAAATACTTTAATTATAAATCTTGGATTAATAACTTTTAAATAAAATTCTACCGCAACCCGGTCCACTATCAACCCATCAATATCGTTACCGTGACACCGCAACCATTTCTACGATCGCGACCGAAACTGCATTTTTATACCATGCTTGGGCGTTTATCCATAGACAAACTCTTTTTTGTATACATTTGATAAATTTGAATCTGTCTAAGAGCACAGGGAGGTTATAAAACCCAATACTAGAATCAGTTTACGCACTAATTACAGGTGGAAAATCAGCGATAGAGATGACAAAGAATCCTTAATTTTTTAGGGGAGATAATGAAACAAATGATAAATTAATCAAGCAAAACCGCAATAGTGCACATTGCAATACTTAAACTTGTCAGTTTCCATGTCCTATTTTCCTGATAATTAATAAAATCTTACTGTCTTTTACGACTGACCTTTTCTTCTAAGCATATGCAACAACTTGAACACCAAAGCCATATTGAATCATGTTCTTCATTTCAAAAACAATAGAACGTTTATAAAAAAACTGGGAGCATAACAAAAGGAGACAATTTAAGGAAAAAAAAAAAAAACCTGTATTCAGGAGCAGAGGCTTGATTTGATCGATGAGTTCTGCCGAACTGCTGAATTGCTCGGTCAGCACTCCATGGGAGTTCTAAAGTTAAGTGAACCCTCCTCCTCTGATAGAAAAAAGAAATTGAATAGGATGTGTTAAAGATATCCACAAATTTACTTTTGAAATGATGAAAGTCAAAATCAGATGACACAGTTAATCATGTAGTCCTGCAGATTTTAAAATGAGCTTCACAGGGAAGGCAATACTACTATTGTCATTCCCAGATGCTTATGAAAGAGTTAATGTATTTGCATTATTTTACCTGATTTAAAGCCCTTCTATCAGCTTGCAGAGAAACTCCTGCTGACCCAGCTTCAGATATAATAGCAATAAACTTTTTACCATCCATGAAAAGCTGTTTTTCATGCATATTAACCATTTCCATAGTCACCTCTTTCCTAGATAAAAAATAAATAAATAATTAAATCAAACCTAAAAGTAATAACAGAAGTTTTTTATGCAGAATTCCATTTGCACATAGATTTCAGCATTTCAGCACCAAAATGCATACCTAAAAAAAAATAAAAAAAAAAAATAAAAAAAAAAATAATAATAATAATAATAATAATAACAATAATATTAATAACAATAATAATAATAATAATAATAATAATAATAATAATAATAATAATAATAATAATAATAATAATAATAATAATAATAATAATAACAACAACAACAACAAACAAATAAATAAATAAACAAACAAATAAATTAATAAATAAAACAAAAGAAAAGATTTAGGAAAAAATCAGAATTTTAAGACAATACAAAGAGGAAGACAAACAACCCAAACACTCCTCAAAAATGGAAGCATAACAGATATATCAATAATTAATCAACCAAGATCTAAACCCGTATCAAACACCCAGCCAGATCTACTAAGACAGACATATTCCCTTTGTGAGTAGATAAAATGCCCATTATTCAATTTGGTGGGGTCCATTTTCTCACTTTTACAAAACCCCCTAAACTATTCCCAATATCTTCCTTCTTTATTCTCAACTTTACTCAACAATACCCCTAACAACTTTGATAAAGAAAACAAGGCTTTTATTTTAGGACAGAGGGACTATAAAAGTATTGGTTAACACGCTTGTAATTAATATAGGGAGTAACACACCCTTTCAAAGATAGGATTTTGTCTTTTATTGACTATTTTAAATATAATAAAAACTAGGAATCCAAAGGCACCTTCAAAGATACATTTTGTGCTTAATCAATTCATTTCATATCCTGTGATAAGTGTGTCTAAGGGGATAACATTTACCATGAAACTAAGAGTTATGCGAACTTACGTATTCCGTGCCTGGTAGGTTACACCTTTACCACATGAGGCCCGAACAAGCATTCCCCGCCTACCAGTTATTTCTGCAACATTATCAGGTCCACCAAGCTGCACATTCACATTAAGTTAAAAATAAATCTGGTAACCCTTGCACAAGCATATTAGCTCTTTCACCACTTTTTTTTTCATTTTCAAACAAGAATATGATGATAGTAATACATTAAGTTTCAACAGACATTAACATCTACAGAGTAAAATTTAACAAAATATATTAGTAGATAGCAAGCTATGAGCCATTAGGCCAAGGAAAAAATGGAAGTTGCACTAACAAAAAGCTAAAAGGGGAAATAAAATTATGAAAATAACAGAGATAAGAAAATGCTCAAAGAACAATAAGGGAAATTCGTTGAGGTTACCTGATCAATAATGTCATCTAGTGGATTGTTTGGAAGATCCAAAGAGCGAATAATTTCCATAATTTTTATCTTCCGTTCAACAGCTTCGTCGTACCTAAATGCATATCCAAAGTACAGAAATTACACTACAATAAGGAGGGGCTGTCAAAATAGAAGACATATATGCAAGGACCATTGAAGCAGAAGGAAAAAAAACAGCAGCAGGAAAGACAGATGAATTTAAATACCTCTTTGTGAGCTCTTCTATGTAAGCACGTTTTGCTTGCAAAAATTCTTCTGTTTTTTGATGGCATGAATTGCATGTCCACTCCTCAGATACATCTGGTACAGGTGGGTCTAAACAAGAAGGATGTACTAACTTGCCACAGCAGGCACATTTAAGTAATTTCTTTCTATCCTGTTTCAAATAATCCAAATGAGTAAACAATATTCACAAAATTGCATAATATATAAGAATTTAATGTGATTCACCTCTTCACCATTACAAATGTCACAGATCTGAAACTCATCATCAGATTCAGTAGATTCATTATCATTATCAGCTGCATGTAACAAAGCAGACAAATTAAGAACTAACTGAAAGTGTCTCCTCCCATGAATCACTAATACTAGAGAAGAGATAAAAATGTAATTGGAGTAAGATCTAACTGAAAAAGTGTCCACTCAAGACTCAATTAAACTAGGAATGAAATACAAAAATAATAACAAAAGGACTATACAAATAGTTGTTTGCCAACCATATAAGATAGTACTGGTATTTAAACAGATATTCCTTCCATCACCCCAGTTCATACAGAATATTAATACAAGTAAAGATGAATCTGCTTGGAACTAGTACAAAGTAGGGTAATTATTATAGTATGGACAGATGAAAATAAAATTCTTTGAGCAATGATCTACTATTTTTGCTACCCTGATTTAATTCACATTTTTTATGAAATACAGCCCAAAAACAAAAGTTGATCTGACTTGTGGCCTATGTTACATGGACTTGGGAACAGGTGTCGGACACAGACACATGTCCAAGTGTCCAATCCGGCAAGTTTCAAAATTTTAGGACACGGGGAATCTGTCCAATATTTGGACACGGATACAGGGACACGTCAATACGTTAATTAAATCTATATAAATATATTATTTATTACAAAAGCTTTAAATATTCATTATGTCTACCCCTATTTATTTTTTTTTAATTCATTCCTCGGAAAATTTTCCTAATAAATGGCAATCTGCTTATCTCCATCTTCTCTATATCAATGGTCATTTTCGAACAAGATATATTTTTCTTTCATGTTTCTTCTCTTTTTTCCTCTACTCTCTAAATGGAAGTGTCCGAGAGCACAGTTAAGGATCGGACACGTGTCATGTGTCCGTGAAGTGTCGTGTTGACACGGACACTTCGCGATATTAGCCATGTCCGATTACCATAGTTTATGGCATTCATGAGACCTAATTGATTTGTTTTCATCAAAATGCTAACCATGGTTAACCTACGTAAATTACTTAAATGTCCTGCTGCCCTCTTCCTCTCACTATTTTTCCTTTTCTCTCCGTTGCGGGCTGTTGTACACTGCAGCGCCATACTGGGGAAAGTACGGCATGTGGCTAGGCTATGAGCTCCTGCTATGCCCCAATCCTTTTTCATTCTCTTCTTTCTTCAACCTCTGCCACCCAATCCTTCCCAAAACCCAACTTTTTCTCCACTGTGAATTAGTAGAGATCTTTTGAATAACACCATATAATATTCAGGTGGCACAAGCTCACAACAAACAATAAAATAAAAATCTAGCTGCTGTAAACAAATAGAAAAGTAAAAATATGCACACTCTACCGCATAGACCTTGACCGTCATGTAATCTACTAGCTCAGACAAATATCCTCACCTCCCAAATAAAAAAGTCAACAAAATCAAACGGGGTAATAAAGTAATCACTCAACAGTTTCTCATAATACTGTCATTCATTTAAATTTCCCTTTTAGAAGAAATGAATAATGATGAGCAGATCAAAGCATGAAAAAGGGCTGATGAGTAACAAGGTAACCATCTCCATTTCCCTCCATCCCTCGTAGTATGCGACCAATTTCTTTTTCGATTCATCCCTTTGAGCTTGCCCCAAACCTTTTTGGCCTGTGATCCTCACATGTTTCTCCTCCATACAAAATTAATTATTGAAGAAAAAAGATAAAAGCCCAACTCAATTAATTTTTTTTTTGGCCCAAGTCTTGACAAAGTGAAAAAAAAAAAAAGGACGGAGTATAAAACATTACAGTTTAAGGTTTAGGTTTTAAAAGCTCACATTCAGATTCACCAAAACTATCTTCGTCACTTTCAGCCTTCCATTTGGCAGCTTTTCTCACTCGCCCTTTGAATGAAACATCAGGATCTGCTGAGTGTCTCTTTCGTGGAAGTTCCTTCACACCTTCATCATCTACTGAAAATGATTCATTTACGAATCAAATTACTGCCCCACATAAAGATTACTAAACACAGAAAGACCAAAAAAAAAAAAAAAAAAAAAAAAAAAGCAATGTACATCAAAAGACCTGGAAATGGTTCAGGCTTTTCAGGCAAAGGATAATTTTCTTCAACAAATTTGAGTAGCAGCTCACGTGGCCCAGAAACAAAGTCATCAAGTTCAAGGCCCTATTTAAGAAATAGTACAAATAGAAAAATTAGATTAATTATAATCAATAGCAAGGTAAATAAATGCCATAAACGATCACTGACATATTTCGAAATAGCTTCCTCAGTGCGTGCCTCTCCTGTGCTTTGAAGGCCAACGACCACGCATTTATTCTCCTTCAATGCTTTCTTAGCAAGTTTTACAACTGTAGGAACTTTAGCTGACATGCACAGGTGTCTGAAGAATCGCTAAAGTTGACAATCATACATAGATAAGCACAATATAAATATGATGATTTTGGAACAGCAATCAAACCACAAAAGCATAGATAGCTTCCAAGACCTGATGGCTGGCCCAATATAATCGCCACAGTTGACTAGAATTAGGCTTCTCTTCAGCATGAAATGCACTAGCTGTAAGTAGCTCAACACGCAATTCAGCCCAAAATTCAGCTGCCTTCATATACATTTCCTGCAAAATTAAAAAGCAAATGCAGATTAAGGCAATCTATATCCCAAGAAATAACGGAGCCTTATGGATAGGGCTAATGATTGCTACTGTACAATTGTTATGGAGTAACTGACCCAAGAAATACACACACACACACAGACACAGACACAGACAAGCACAGTCATCGACTCAGACTAGAAATATATTAATATGATATATACGAATAAATCCATTATTCAATAACTTATGCACTCCTCATCACATGAATTCCTCTATTTTATCCCTCTCTTGATTGCATGAACTCCTAAGAGCATCTCCAATGGTTGATTTTTAAGGACTTGATTGCAGTTATATTAAGAATATCGCTGTAGTTTAACTATCGGAAATCAAAATAATTGATCTGCTAGTAAGAAACCGTAGCTCAACAAAGCTACAAGGCTTGGATAAATTATTAATTTTCAACAATAAAATTAATGTTGGACGATACAAGTGTGATCTACTCTAAACCATAAACATGCTTCAATAAACAAACAAAAAAGGATTTAAATCATTTATTAACGGAAGTGTTATACTAATTTGATCAGATAGTTTCTAAGCTATTTCCTATTTACACCCAGATATTCAAAATTGTCATAAGGTAGAGATTTCCAATTGTAGAAAACATAATCCTACGAATTTACTTGATAAAAGAAAAATCCAAACTGCCCCCACTACCTACCAATTATTATCAATCAAAGAATGCTGCCTCTATTTCTTGTTTTCTCATCCACAAGAATTACCTGGATCACCAAACTATCTATTCTCTTACCAAAGTCATGGTACAACAATATGGCTGCATTGTTTCGGTTGGGCCATAACAAACAGAATTTTCAATTGACGATTTTTTTTAAAAACCCATGATCTCATCAAATCACATGTTCCAACTACAAATCACCCATCACCCCACATGTTAACATTAACTAGATGTTGACCATATCTATAATACTTTAGTTAAACTAATAAAATAATTTACCACTTTACAGAGTAAATCCGACTAAAATTTAAAAAAAAAAAAAACATATTTTGAAATCAAATTCATTACGCAAAAACCGCGACAAGATCCACAATCAACGAGTCATTAGTGCTGTCACGACCATTAAATATCTTGGATAATATTTCGACACTGGCAATAGTATTTTCAATGGCCATTTAATCTCTTGTAGTCTATTCCTCTTAAAATCATTAAAATGTAGCACTTTTTTTTTCTGATTCATAGCTTAATCATATGTAGTGTCATGTCGGCATTATTATTTAGCAAACAAATAACAATATACTCCCCCTCTATTTTTCAAAATGCCCCAGTCTGACCGTATTTGTCTACACGGAACTTTGACCAATAATATCTTTAATTAGCAGTAAGCATAAGTTATATAAAGTTGATATTTCAAAATATTGAGAAAATTCAACAAGTATCTATATGAATGTTTGATCTTATGTATATAGCATAAACATTAGTCAAAGTATTGTACGTGAATAGGACAATAGTCAGACTGGAGAAATTTAAAAAAAAAGTATGTAGGGAGTAATTACTAAAAGCATAAGCAGAAAAGATAAGTGCTTTAGTGTATGTTCTTATGTGGTGTGCGAGCAAAACCTGTACAGCACCTATTTTTCAGTTGCTTTTTTAGTGCTGCTATTTGGCACAGAATTCTGCAGTTGCTCCAATGTGATACACCAGTCCAGGGATTTGACAGGGAGAAAAGTTCGCTAATAAAGCTTGCTGGAAGACAAGCGCTAAGCATAAAGTTTATAGCATACTTATGTAATAGACTAGCATAAGGAGGGGCATTATTGGTTGTCTAGTATTATCAGGTTAGTAGTCTTAAGCTTAGTATAAATAGAGAGGGGGAAAGGAAGAGGTAGGCATGAATTGGATTTGTTATAGACTGACTTAGGATTTTCTAATTTAAGGACTAATTAAGATATAAAAGCTTGATAATTTAGATTAATGGCAGAATTTGGATACAAAAGGATAGATTAATAGCTTAAGGCTATCACTCTCTTGATAACTTTAGGTTATCACTCTCCTAGTAACTTGAGGTTACTACTCTCAACATTTTTCCTCACAATTCACATGATAGCTAATGCATACACTATCCCTTATTTATACTAAGGCTTAGTTAGGAATAAGGGCTACTAACCTAAAAGTACTAAAATTCCCAAACTACCCTTGTTAATGTTAGTCTATTACATTACCGGCCCCCTAAACTTCCACCTTGTCCTCAAGGTGGATAATAATCGGCACTCAATTCTCGGCGACAGCAATGATCTGTCAAGGTTGATGAAGGATGTGAAATTTGGCTTGAATGTATAAGGTTATAAGAGTTGGGTTTCATAGCTGATGTTGGATGGATAGGCCTAGAGTTAACAAGCCCAAAACATGAAGGGTAAGTGGGCCCAATAATTTGCATTGCTTCATCAAATTGAATTGGGTTAGCCTGTAGCTCTTTTCTTTCCATATATGCACGTAGCACTAGCTGCCCATTGACCAATTTGCCCTTACTAACCCCATCTTGTATAATTGGCTTCCTCCCCAAGGCAATGAAAATTTCAGTCAACCCTCTTGCCAAAAGCATTTCTGCCAAAAGCTGCTCTTTTTGCATACTTCAAGAAGCCACCAATCACCCATTCCTCTTGAATCCTTTCTCTTGCTCCACTTCCAGTCAAACCCCCACCGCCGGTAAAACCACCCGCGAAATCTCCACGTTTTTGCTGTGTGTAGCCACCATGACCAACACCGCATCTGCCATGGAAGTTCCTGCGCCATTCCCCACCTTTTTCTCCGGCGAGCCACCCATGTCCACCACCACACCAGCCACACAGACCTCCACCAGATTTTTCGCCTCCACTGTGACCCCCCCTAAATTCGTTGCAAACACCACCAGCAAGACCACGGAACCCTCCAAATATCCACCACTCATTCATCCCACCACCTGCAAAGTACCCCAGTCCACTTTCGAACAAGCCACCTCCGACCAAGAGACCACCACCAGTAAACCCATCGGAAAAATCGCCACTCTTTACCCTTTCTTTACCTTGCGGCTCATTGTTCAAATTCGTATGGCCACCAGCAATCCCTTGTTCACACGCCCGACACAAACATCCCGGGCCACCACCTGACCCACTTGCGGCTGACCCGCCTTTCACGAAGTCAGCTCCGTCTCTGTTCAGGCCACCACTAGCGGCGGTCTCACCATCACTCTCAACTTTTCCGGTTAACGCTCCTGAACCACCGCCAGATCCACTACTATTGGCGCCACCCTTCTCAAAAAATCCTCCTATTCCATTGCCTACAAACACCTCAACTTCAGCCCTTTGCACGGTACTAAAATCCACCCAAACTGCATGAGCTTCGCCGCCAAATTCGCTGTTGACTCCAACCGTACCTCCACCGGAAAACCCATCACCGAAATCACCAATCCTTCCACCAGATATATGTTTTCCCGCAAAGCTCTCAAATCCGCAACCCAATTCGCCGTCAAAGTTTCCTGAAAAACCATGTCTCCCATCCCGGCCTGCCTCGCGCATACAACTCCAGTTGGGTTGAATGTGAAACCCTCTGGTAAAGTGCTCACCCCACTGCCAGATCTACACGCCACTGGGTCTTGCACTTCTTGACTCTTCAGGTGTACTACCTCGCAGCTGGACCAGGGACCACAACAGTAATCAGATTGTGTCGTCTTTGAACGGAACTGGCGGACCAACTGAACCTTCAATATCTGCCACCCATTGAATGGTAGCCACCAGTGTTCACATTCGAACCACTGTAACGCTTCGCCGCAAAGCCCGATGATGGCAACCTTGAGCTTCTCCTTTTCATTCAACTGGAAAAAATGAAAGTAATCCTCCATTTGGAAGATCCAGTCATCTGAGTTTCTTCCATTAAATTCGTGAATTTGAAGCTCCTGCCGGATTCTCTTCTCCTCCTCGGGATCTGAAATTCCTTGCTCCCTTTTAAGGGAAATGTATTTAAATTCCTCATGAATCCATTTCTTCATGAGTCGTTCGCCATCTGTTCCCGCAAACTGCATTTTTTTTTTAATTTTTTTTTTTTAAATGCGGTGGTACGGACTGGTGGTTCCAGTCAACGGCAGCCCACAAGACCGCCTGCTCTGATACCAATTTGTTATAGACTGACTAAGGATTTTCTAATTTAAGGACTAATTAAGATATAAAAGCTTGATAATTTAGATTAATAATGGCAGAATTTGGATACAAAAGGATAGATTAATAGCTTAAGGCTATCACTCTCTTGATAACTTTAGGTTATCACTCTCCTAGTAACTTGAGGTTACTACTCTCAACATTTTTCCTCACAATTCACATGATAGCTAATGCATACACTATCCCTTATTTATACTAAGGCTTAGTTAGGAATAAGGGCTACTAACCTAAAAGTACTAAAATTCCCAAACTACCCTTGTTAATGTTAGTCTATTACAGGATTATTGAAAATGGAGAGTAGTAGCCACAAGTTGCTAACACGAGATTTTGTAGGCTAGATCTACTACCTTTGTAAGCTTTCCGCCATTATCAATCAAAGCATCCCGCTATCATCTTTATTTATTTGCTTTGTTAAATCAGATATACTAAGTCACATGTTCTGTACATTAAACTTATTTGCAGAATTATTTGCAGCAAAGGACTGACATTTATAATGCATATGTATGACTTGCACTCTTTGAAAAAAGAGAGCAAGAAATCAATTTGGGTGGCCAAGGATATGCCTTTATAGATTATTTTACACTTGATAAACAAATTGCCAGAGGTCAATAATTCAGAAGTAACAGAGATGCAGAAGATTAGGGAAGCAAACCCCAGGTTATGAGATGCTTCATAGCAAAGGCATCTGCTAGAAGTTATAACAGCACTAACGTGGATAATTTAAAATTGTATTAGCTACAGTAAGACATCCGTGCGACTCAATAAACACTACAGAACTTAAAAAAGTACTGAACAAGCCAGAAAATGGCTAGGAACATGATTATTTTCACCTTTCCATGCAAACATTTGTTAGCATACAACTCCCAGAAACTAAAGAAAAGAAAGGGGAGGGGGTGGAACGAAAAAATATATGTACTATTCAAGAACACTAGAGACAAATCAGTCTAGAACCAACATTGTTAATTAAAATAAAATAACAGCTTTGCATACCATCATCTTAGGTTCCAATGGTGCCTCAATAACTTCAAACTCAGCCCCTTTATAGCTAAGTGTTCGACAAACAAACATGCCCCTGATGGGTAAAGAGAGGGAATGTCAATATCACTTACATCACAACTACACTACAAAGTTGCAAATACACTACCTTGCTTTCATGTCCATGGCAACCAGTTCTAAAGCCCCAACTCCACCTTTCTCTAGAGCACCTGCACATGTACAACATAAAAAGTTAAATGATACCATTAAGCTCAGCCACAATAACAAATGTGATAATTGACACATAGACAAAATCAACAAAAAAGGAAAGACAGTATCATCAATGACAAAACAAAATTCAGAAACCAAATAAACAAATTTGAGTGATGTAATTCTTATCAGAAAAAACGATTTTGACCATTGTTAAGCTCCTTAGAGCATTGAATTGCATACAGCATATACTATGGAGCACAAAGACTGTAACTACAAAAAAAAAAATCAGGAAAAAACAGGAATCAATTTAGAGTTGGAGGATACCAACCTAAAAAATCCTTGAAATTTAAAAAAGATGTACCAGCACCCCACAGACCAAGACGAACCATGTAACCCATATTGCGTGGTTCAGACGCACCAGTGGCAGAACAATAAACTACACGAGCTTCAGGAAGCTTATCCTGTTGTGTTTGAAAAATAACAACTCATAGTTATATATCCACCTACATTACAAAAGAATTAAACAATCGAAAGCTCACCAATAAACCATATTCAATAAACACGTTGGAAAACTTTATGCAGTTCTACAACATAAGAGAATATCATTGATATACGATATATTCACAATTGAGGATTCTCTAGGCCTGAAAATGTGTAAACCAATCTTAAATTTTTTTCTTTTTTAAAAAAAAAAATTAAATAAATAAAAACTAATAAAAAAATAAAAAATAAAATAAAAAAAAAAAAAGTATGACTGCATGAGAAATTGAGAAGCTAATCAGACCACAAAGCAATAATAAAGTTAAACTTTTCTACATAGCAATAAAAATAGCATCTTCACTCTCATAATGAAGAATATTGCTCCAAGGCCTCCAACCATTCAACTTTCTGTCCTCAAAGTGATAGTGTGATACTAATGTGAACAACAAGCTAAAAACGGCTGAATGAAAAAGAAAAGTGCTCTTAAAAAATAAATTAATAGATGTCACAAGTCCAAAAAAATTCAAGTCAAAATAATCCTCTGTCCTGAAAAATATTGCAAAGACAGCAAAATGCAACAGCTATATAACTCGAGTAGTACACAATCACATAACACCTACCTTGAACTCAAAGCACTTCATGAGGAATAAATAAAACAAGATAATACTATTGATAGAAAATTGCCAACAAGGCGAAGAGGTGAATGATGATTAAATACTGTGATCTGACTGCCAATTCAAGAACATACCTGAAGCTCTAGAACTGCTTCACCTGTACGCGTAGGCTGCCCTCCAGCTTCAGGAACCAAATTTTTAGCCTTGTGGCACTGTTATAGAAAGCAAACACACTTATAAGTAAAAAGACACATATCAATTTCCTGCATTCCATATATTGGCAAGGATGACAACTGATACCTCGTCAAATATGACAAGACCATCAAAATCTCTTCCACCACACCACTGAACAAGTTGGCTCAAGCGAGACTTCCCCTTTTCAGAAGATGCAATAAGACTACTATATGTCGAAAACAAAACACCCTCTTTGATTCCCACGGACTTTGAATCAAGCTTTCCATAAGGCAACTTATTCAGAGCATGTACTACAAAAGCATACAAAAATAGAATATATAAACATTCTTCCTAGAAGATAAGTAAGACTAATGCAGGCTTAGAAAACTTCAATTATGATGTTTAGAGGGTTAAGTTGAGTGAATTATATATTTCTTTGGTAATTCACAAAGCATTATTAGCCAAAATAAAGGGAAACGTAAATTAAAAAATGCAAAAAATAAAGAGAGAGAGAAGAAAAACCCACATACGAAGATGTACAATACTATCAAATTGTCTGTAGTATATCGTTATATTACTAACAATTATATAAAGATACAGCTATATGTACAATTACATAAATGAATCTTATCATCAATCTCACAAGGATAAGCAAACCTAAATGTGTAGATACTATACAAACATCTCACCCAACATTAGATGGGAAGCGGTACGATTTGAAACGTGGTACAAAAACGGATACACAGAACGCTACTAGTGGTGAATCCAGTATAATTGGGCACAAAATAATTAAATTAATAAAATAAGTAGATGATTTTTCATTGACAAATTTTTTTTTTTTTGGAAAATAAAATAAGGAAAATTTGTAAATTACCACCATAGACCTGTTTTGAAATTACCAACTGTTATTTTTTTTTTAATTTTTTACCATCCCTTCAATTAAAAAATTACTTAGATTCCTACCTTTTTCAAAATTCTGGTGGGTTTTCTGTCTATGGGCCCCACCTAACAGCTATTAACCACTATTTTGACCCTTTTGACGGATTTTTCCCCGATTTTTCTCTTTAAAGCAACTCTCCCAACTTCAATTCGCATTTCCTTCACCAAATTCCACTATAATTGGGGTAAATAGGTAGTTTTGGGAATTAGGATTCTTAGGACAATTCAATTGGGCGTTTTCAACAATAAGGGTTCCTATTGCTAATGAACCTGTTTAATACCTCCATGGAAGCTTCTTGTTCTTGATTCTCGCTTCCATTAACAATTTCAATGCTTCAACATCATTCGGGTTCGCCGCAACAGCTTCCTCCAACTTTTTTTCTCTCTCGTCGCTGAAACTTACATCTTCTCCCTTCTCCGACGTCTCAACCATAGGCGGTGGGCGGTGTACAGCTGGAGTTAAGGACCTGCTGTATCCCAACCCATAGAAAAAGATTGTTTTTGCAGCAACGACAATTGAAAGAGGGGTTTTGAGGAAAGAGAAAGGGTTTAGGGTTTTAAGTTTTGCTGAAATATGTAATGGCAATGATTTAGAGGGGAAAGGATGAGAAAATTGGGTGTTGAAGGAGATTGAAGAAATGAGTGTTGAGAAAAAGGGAGAAGATTGATGATAGATTGAGTGAAATATATTAGTGAGAGGATTAAGTCGAGAGAAGAAAATAAAATAAAATAAAAGGAGAGAGTTTAGTTAGGTGGGTCCCGCAGACGGTTACCCACCAGAATTTTGAAAAAGGTTGGAATCTGGGTGATTTTTAAATTTAAGAGGGGGTAAAATAAAATAAAATAATTAATGAGTGGTAATATCAAAACAAGTCTACTATTTGGGTGGTAATTTACAAATTTTCCATGAAATAAATAGTATATTTTTATTAGAATATTTTCAATATGGGCATGCAAGTGGGTTGCTTAAGAAAATAGAGTATGTAAAAACCCCACGTTGATGTTAGAGTTTAAAGCCACTCACCAGCTGAAAACCTATTTGCCACGCTTCATAGGGTAGCATAAATAAGAATTAAAATAACAATTTAACATCATTGAACTGCCACGTGAGACACAGAAGAGAGGAGAGAGAGAAAAATATATAATAATAAATGAATGAATGCACGTGAAAGATGAGAGGGAGAAAAAAGAATTGAAACTGTCGGGAAGCAAGCCATTTAAAGTTACAGAGCATGAACCGTGTTTGCTCACCCGTAAGAACCATGATCGCGGCAGCCAGCAATCCAAGTCATCGCATTCCAGTACGAACAGCTAAGTTCGAGATAAGTGGCTTCATACTGCATTCAATGTATTAAAAAGCTCTAAGGCGCACTGAAGCGAGAGGGGTTCTGCTGGGCCTAGGTGAGTGCGCCTCTTTGAAGTGAGGCACATTGTATGGGCGGTTAAAAAATTTTGGCTGAAATTTGCATCAAGTGCACCTCATGTGCGCCTCGGGTGCTTTTGGTATGCCTCGGGTTGCCTTGCGCCTCAGCAACACGCTTTTTCAAACACTGGTTTGCACTCCTTGTAACCTTTACCTACTCACATTTGATGTCTTCCTACTCATTCTTCTTCAATATGATGTTTAGAGGGTTAATTTGAGTGAATTATATATTTTTGGTAATTAAATAAGAGAGAGAGAAAGAGAAGAAAATAGAACCCGCATATCCAGTGTTTATTAGTTAACACGTCTTGACTCAAGCACTACTCACACAATTCTCTTTTACCGTATTTTGTGATTTTTACTTACTGAAAAACATAGTCATGTGGGATCTTGTTAGATTCGTCACGATATATATTTTCATAATATCAACTTTTTATAATTTTTGCTTATCGATAATAAGAGATATTAATGTTAAATTTGTGCGTTGGCGAGGATGTACAACTTTATGTATCAAATCGCATTTAGTATGTCGATACAATAAATAACAATTACATAAAGATGCAACTATATGTACAATCAAAGAAATGAATCTTATCATCAATCTCATAAGGATGCGCAAACATAAATGTATAAATACTACCTACGTTAACAGTATTTGCAAGAAAGGGGATCTGGTAGGGGTGAAAGTAATTTGGACAAAAACCGAAAACCGATCCAAATTGAACCGAATTAGAAATTTGGTTCAGTTTTTTTCGGTTTTCGGTGATCAGTTCTAAAAAACTGAAACCGAAATATTTCAGTTTGGATTCGGTTTGGGTTCCAAAAAAACCAAAAACCGAAATCCAAACCGAAATTTTAAAGCCCAAAGAATCTCGGCCCAATTCCCTTACATATATATATAGCAAAACCCTAATCCTCCCTCATCTTTTCCCAATGCGGCCACCACCTTCCTCACCAAAACCCTAATCCTCCCTCATCACCTCACTCACTCCGACCACTATTTTTCTTGGTTTTTTTGTTGTTGTACAGGAAGTTGAGGAGCTTGGAGCTGCCAAGTTGATTGAAGGCTTGAAGTTTCCATGTTTACTGTTATTAAATTTTAAGTCCTTTCTTATGTTTGTAACTTAATTTTAATGGCTGAACAATTTTTTTTTATTATGTTATTTCTTAAATTTGGCCAATATCAAGCCTCTAAGACATATTATATTATTATGGACTGAATTTTTTTAAAAAGAAACTTATTATGGACTGAACTATAAAAGTTTGTAATTCATGACAATTATTAAGCTATTTCTTTTAAATTTCAAGGTAGAAAATTTAGGACATAAAGGCCAAAACAATAGGTCCAATTATCAGGCCCAATATTTAGGCCCAAAATAACAGGCCCAACAAAAATTCGGTTCGGTTTGGATTTAATTTCCAAAACCGAATTATTTCGGTTTGGATTGGATTGAATTGAATCCAAATTCGGTTTGGATTCGGTTTCAAAAATCCGAAACCGAATTAATTCGGTTTGGTGTAAAATCCAAACCGAATACCGAACTTTCACCCCTAGGGTCTGCGCGGACTCCTAGGAAAAAGTTTTTAAGTATGATTATTGAAAAATAAGGGTATGTGCTTAAGGCCTTAAGTATCAATCCTACGACTACCAAAAAAAATAAATAAATAAATAAATTTAAACACAATTACCCAAAACCACCGACCACCAACCGCCGGAACCACCAAAGCCATCGAAACCCACAACCCAAAACCACCACCAAAACCACCGGAATCCAACCACAAACCCAAAAAAACCACCAACGAACCCCTTAAACTCTTTGAAGATCCATCAAAACTACCCCCATCGAAACCCTTTAACGACCCACCAAAAACCACCCCTCACTGGTTCCCTTTGACGAATCACCAAATTAAAACCACCCCCACGAACCACCAAAATAAACGAAGGACCACCGAGACCCTTCGACTACCACCAAAACCAACCCCACGAACTCAACAAACCCAACCACAAAAATCACCCCCACGAACCACCAAAATCACCAACACCCTTGCACTAAGGCGAACTAACCCACAAATTCAGTCACAAACCCGCAAAACCAAGACTATTTTCCCAAATTGAGTGTGTTTCTTCTTCCATTCATGAAAAGTGGTTGAAGGAGGAGAGAGAAAGTTAATGTTGAAGAAAATAAAGATGGAGATATTAGATTATGGAGAGGAGGAAGAGGAAGAAGATGATGGAGGAGGAGAGAGAAAGATAATGGAGAACATGAATAGATGAATATGGATTGATGATTATTGAAAGATAAAATAAGCTTAATTAGATTGGATTAGTTTTTAATCAATTTTGTTTTATGTAGGTAACTGATGTTATAAAGTTTTAAGTAAGGGTGTTTTTGTCATTTCATTTAAAAAAAAAGTTTCTAAAAATGGAAAGATTTGGGAATGTTGCAAATAATAGTTAGCACCCATTTTTAGTAAATGTTGCAAATAATTGTTAATGAAGGTAGTATCATACAAACATTTCACCCACCCACGACTTCCTACTCATTCTTTGCTTTTCCAATATGTCATGCGTATAGATGTTGGAAGTCATGTAGTAAGATTCATACTAGAGTCACCACATCTATTCCATGCCCTATATTTTATTAGATAATTGACATACATTCTACTTCCTCGAGTAGACCAATAATTTATTTTATTTGTTCCATTCTGACTTTTTGCAAGATTTAAATAGCACACCTTGACCACCTTTTTTTACTAGCATATGAAAACGGATACGTCCTCCGTTTTATATTAGTTGCAACACTTTGACTTGTACCTTATTCATATACTATCTTTGACCATATTTTAAAATGGTTGTAAGAAAATAAGGTGAATATAATAAACGAGATAGAGTAAAAAGGTGGGTGGGTGTAACAAAAAGGTAAAAAAGTAAGAGTGTATGGAATCGTGAAAGTGGTAAGAGAATGAAAGAGGTATGTTAAGAAAATACATTATAATTTATTAGAATCTATGGGTTCAATATAAGTGGAGTTGTTGAGAGGTTCAACAAAGAGCAAAGGTGAAAAGTCTCGGTAAACAAGGAGAAAAACATGTGACAAAATATGAAAATGTTAAAGGATCTAACAATTTTAATATGGACAAAAAATTAAGTTTCTATATTGAACAGAAATTAAAGGATGAGGAGGATGAAGAGAGAGAGAGATAAAGAAATTTTAAGGAAATTCAAGGTTTCAAGAGGCTTGATACTATCTCAAATACAAACCAAAACTCAAGGAACACTCATTAATTTTCTTTATGATCTCTCTTTCCTTAACCTCCTCTAATTATAAACTAATTGATTTTCCCCTTTTTAACTCTAACTTAATTATAATTACAAATCCTAATGTACCCTTCCCCTATACTGATGCAATACAGATTACTTGTTCTCGAAAATTTTCTCAGACATTAGAAATAACACCGAAATATTAAGACCAGACAATGATTTAATTTTACGTAAATGCCCTGAAAAATCAAGAAATTGTTCAAAACTCACCACATATAACAATCTACATATTTGTGGTGTAACAGAGGGATAAATAGATCACCACACATTTATTAATTAGAGGTGTTGCAGCTTTCCACTTTTTGTTTAACCTTTGACTGGTACGATTATACCCTTTTTTTTTAAAAAAAAAACATTTTTTTCTAATATATTACTGGTTCTGCATACTAATAAAAATCCTTCCTCTTTAGTTTTGGTATGATCAGATAATTTACTCTTTTCTTAATATAAAAATTATTTTTAGTTAACTCCCAAAGTTACCCTTGATTACTATTTAATGGGCTTAAATGTAATATATATTACGGGTATCTAATCAAGTGCATTTTATAAAATCTCATGTATCGATATTGGTAAATCTAGAAACTAAAAAATAATTACCAATTATGAAAACATCTGCTGGTTTTTCCCATAAACAGTTGAATCTTCCTGGGGGCAAAAATAGTAAGACAGCTATAGGGAGAGTAGGGAATGATGCCTACTGGATCAAAAGGTGAAGCAACAAGTAAAGATAATGAAAGACGCACAATTTGCTCTTTACTTTGATCATCATTCATCAGTCATCACTTCCACTCCCTTATTTCTATTGGAGGCAGAGGATATCTGAATGAGAACTTGAAATAGAAGGGAGAACATTTGGCCTATAATTGGGCTTAGACCTTAAATAATGAATTGGTATAGACTGACTAGTATTGTTTTCAGGCAATAAAGATTGCATAATGAAAAGGCAGGACTACTGTCATGCCAGGGTTTAATGTGGGCAAGCCACATCTCGAAACAAATTTCATTAAAAAAAAAAACCGTGAATGGACCCTATAATCTCCTATATGTACATACATATATTTCATCTAACTACTAATCATCATAATTAAGTGTACTCTGTTTTGAATGTTTATGATAATGAAGACTCCATCAGAAATAAATGAATGGTATACCTTCAACAGATGTTGCACCTACATCATCCAGGTCTCTTCGCGAATCAAACTTCAAATCAGAACCAACAGATATCCACCTATGTATGGTAAATTCAGAGGAAACAAATACAGGACATGAGCAGAATGTGATTGTTTCTTCTGAGAAGCATATATGAACTAAGAAGCAAACACTTAAAGTTAAAACAAATAGCACACATAAAGAAAGTTGCGGAGCTTGCTGCTTTTCATCTATCCCTATTTTCAGAAAACAATAAATAAATCAATTCTATCACATCTTTTCAGAAAACACGGGAAGTTGTAGCCTCCTTGCTGTCTCTCTCTCCCCTTCTCCCAAAATATCAACATTTAATTAAGATTGACTTGTACTATTTTGCTTATAGATTGCTCCTTGTCACGGGGTTTTAATACTTAATAAAAAATTTAAAAGTAATAATATTAATAATGTGATTTTAGAAGTATCCAACATGGTTTTCACACCTTGTGTGAAGTCTACTTCCCCTCTTCATCAGCTTTCTACTTGCCAGTAATAATAATTTCTTTTACTGTTAGGATTACAATACTGAAGTATATGCTCCATTATTTTTATAATTGTCAGACCAAAAAATGTTGATTCTTCCAAGGAATTGATAATGAAACACAAATCATGGATGCTATACCTAAAAATAGTGCAAGAGCATTAAAAGTGCCCATATTAAGAATTTCAAATGTCATGCTTGAGTATAGTTTTTGCCAATTGTCGCCAAAACAAAATTCGTGAACTTAAAAACTACTCCCTTCAATTTTAGTAATTGTTCCAATATGACTAGACAGTTGGCAGATTTGTCACTGACAACTTTAACCATTAATATTTTTTACTGCCTTTTAATAAAAATTATAGAAAGATGATATTTCAATATTATAATTTCAGGTAAATATAACATCATAATTTCATAATTAATAACATTAGTTTTTATGTATTAGTTAAAACGTCAAGGTAGGTAATGTACAAAATCCAACATGTTAAAGTGGAAAAACTCTATAAATATGGCCGGAGTACTTGATTTCTTTCATGTAGATAATGTACATCTTTCTAGAAGTATGATGCTCAGCCCCCCTCCCCCAAACAGTAAGAAAATAAAAAATAAAAAAGAAAGAAGCCTCACCCCATACACGGCCCTAAAAACCAATCTAAAATCATCACACATTACACATCAACCTTTAACTTACAATGCTTTCCTCCTTCTATGTTGCCAATTTTCCCATATTAACCCTGCAATGGTACGACCTTTGCCCACACCAGCACCATCTCCAATGAAGAATCCTGCCCTCTCACCATTTGGAAGATGCTGCAAGTGTCTCTGTTGAAGAACTAAATTTTTCTGATCAGAAAAGGAGCAAGTTATAAGCATATTACATGTATAATTGGTAACAAAAACAACCTGAGAAGCGTAAACCAATGTCTCAAGCTGTAAGCAAGACAGCGCCTTCGAATGCACAATTTCTTCCTTAATCTCCAAATCATAAGTTGGTTCAGGTGGTTGCACAGCAGATAAGGATGATGTCTCCACGATTGGATCAGGATGAGGGGGGCCGATAGACAATTTAGGGGGTCGCTGCAGATTGAACATGATCATGTTAAGAAAATTACTTTTGAACTATTCAAGTTTTAGCACCTGAACAAAGAAGATTCCGCATGCTATAAATTGTAATGAGAAAATATAACTCGAAAGATGAAGGTTAATTATTCACAAAGCACTCACATAGTCTGTAAACGTCTCTCCCACTGTTCCACCATCACCTTCCTCCTGTTCAACTTCAATAGCTACCTGAAACAATAAGCAGTCAAGATGTGTACATAAACTCCAAGAAGCAAACTGATCAAAGTAAATATACTTCCTTTGTTTCACAATGCATGCATTATTTTGGCCTTTTACACTTTTCACTTATGAGCTTTGACTTATGTTATTCAGGCTGTTCATCTCTATGAGCTTTGACTTATGTTATTCAGGCTGTTCATTTATGAGCTTTGACTTATGTTACACTTTTCATTTATGAGCTTTTACACTTTTCATTTATGAGCTTTTTGACTTATGTTATTCATTTATGAGCTTTGACTTATGTTATTCAGGCTGTTCATCATTTTGGCCTTTTACACTTTTCATTTATGAGCTTTGACTTATGTTATTCAAGCTGTTCATCGCAATCCAACCTACACAATAAAACATGGGTAGGACACTTAGAAACTTCATTTTAGTTCAAAATCATGGAAGTTTGTTCATAAAATAGATGAGTTGGACACTTGGACACATATCCGTGTCGGACATGGGTACCCAAGTCCAAGTAACATAGGCTTTGACTATGTTTTACTGATATTTTAAAATTTTATATTACTATGTGAAATTTTGTGTGATTAGTTTCAATGCATATTTTAAAAAGATAAATTTTCTATTTATAGGTGTATTAAAAAATAAATAAATAAAGTGGTCAATGTTATGTGTAGGGAAATAAAAGTCAAAATAATACTATGTTTTGTGAAACAGTGAAATGTAATAGATCCAAAGCCATAACATAAATTTTCCACGCCCCTTTCTACTGGTTTTTGAAAGCTCAAAATCTCCTCTTCCACAGCAATCAGCACACCTCACTACAACCTAATAAAGGAGAACAAGAGCACAACAACAAGGCATCTCAATATCATATATTATTACCCCCTATCAGAAATAATACAATATTACTCCTATCCGACCTGAAATGTCTACCATGAAATTTGTGACTCGGTAATATTTTGCAAATTTCAAATTAGAAATTGATTGGGACTGATGATGCTTCTAGAACAAGGAGAAAAACCAAAAGAGGGTGTAAAATCACTAAAAAAAATAAATGGAAGAAAACACACTCTTCCAGCCAAAAAATCCAAGATTGACCAAGAGTGCTAATCTCCACAGTGAAGCTTTTCTAACACGCGCACACGCACGCGCGCGCGCACACACACTCACACACACACACACACACACACAAAACTAAACCTGCAAAGTTCATGCAAAAGCACACTCGCTATCCAAAACAACCAACTACAAAAATCACCTTCTCACCACTCATAAATACATAATTTAGAAAAACACAAATTTAAAATCAGCAAATACATTTATTAGGGTGTCAGATGCAGAGCCTCTATCAGATGATTATTGAATGGGAGCCCACGCAAAAACACCATAGATGGAATAGCATACACTAGCAGAACAAGTGTCAAAGAAATGAATCAGGTGATAATCATCAATTACAGCCTAGCCAATCATTCAAGAGGAATGGAACTATCCCACACTATGAATTAGTTATCACTTTCACAATGATCCCCTCCTCACCATTCGTTACTCATTCAGTATATGACTAACTTGCTCAGTACTATCAGTAGTACTACTTATTTATTAACACTTTGTTTGGATATGAAGAAATGGAAGGAAAAGAAGAGAAGAGAAATGGAGGGGGACAAAATCTCTTGTTTGGGTAAAAGATTGGAGGAAGGAAGGGGAAGGAGAGGGAGGGATCTATTTTCCCTCTCTCTATAATAACCATAATCTCTCCAAAATTGGAGAGATTTGGAGGGAAAATGGAGCTCACCTCCCCCTCCCTTTCTTTTCCCTTCCCTTCCTCCATTCTCCCTCCCCTTCTTTTCTTTCCTTCTTTGCTATCCAAACAAACCGTAAATTCGCAACTGTAACTAACACAAGAGATTATTCTCCCCACCCCACTCCTCTTTTCCCTTGATATTTTTTAAGCATATGTATAGATAGGGACCTGGGTTAATTTTTTTTGCATTACCCCTCGCCCAGTCTGAAATCTTAAGGTACAAAGAAAGAAAACATAAAGCAGCTGAAATGAGGTCCTTCCAGGTAACTTTAAAACTGGAAGGTTGGTCCATTATAGCAATAAACGTCCAAAATATCCTTAATTCCAGAACTATTTCTGGCTCATCTTCCAAAACCATCTCCGCTGTTATTTCCGTAGGCACCAGATGGCAAACAGAAGTACCCACAGATGCCTTAAGTTGAAAACTGTGGAACACAAGGTGAATTCTTTCAGTAGCTGGTAAATTATGCATGTAAGCCACTTTCCCCCAACCTCTGCAGTACCCCTACGGGCTACGGGTCCATACAACCTTGGACAAAGCTTATAAGAGGATCTCTTGGCCAAAGTTCACTGCCTATAGGGTTGCAGCTTGAGATAACCCTGTAATTACATGACCTTGCCACCTCGACGTCACTACATGGCCTTAGGGGCTGAAAGCCTTCACACATAGATGTTATTTAAATACTTTAACATTCGTCATTAATGATACTATGTGAAAATATATTTCCAAAAAGAGGGAGTGTTAGTGTATTGATTCAATTATAGGAATACAAACATTACTTTTACCTCAATAATATTGAGTTAGCTCATTCATTCATTCATTCAATATATTTCCAAAAAGAGGGAGTGTTACATTTACCTGGAATTATTCAAGTAATTTGCTATGATGAGAAAGAAGTTGTCTTAGTACTGAGTTAGCTCATTGATTCATTCATGAAAGTGTTCTAAACATGGATTGAATTTCAAACAATATGTAAATCCTTTTGACAGAAATGCAGCCAGAACACCCAAAAGTCTTCAAGGATGCTTTTTGGTGGGAAAGAAATACCCTTTGCACCATGTCTGACCTTGTGTCACAAATGCAGGTATTCTAGACATGGAAATAAAACTTACATAGATACATTTTACCCTAGTGCTAAAATTTACTTCTAATAAGATCTGAGCAGCTAAACAGTAACTACCACCAACATTGTAGCATGCATAATATATCTCCATGATTGTTAATTAACGATATATGCAATTTTGCAATATGATGAGAAAGAAGTAGTCTTGGTACTGTGTTAGCTCCTTGATTCACTCGCGAAAGTGTTCTAAACACAAATTGAATTTCAAAAGATATGTCATATCCTTTTGACAGAAATGAAGCCAGAATACCCGAAAGCTTTCAAGCATGTTTTTGGTGGGAAAGAAATAGTCTTTGTATCGTGTCAGGACCTCGCATCACGAATAAAGGTATTCTGGATATGAAAATAAAACTTCCATCTATAATTTTACCTTACTGCTATAATTTTGTAAATTCACTCATAAGACCTGAACAGCTGAATAGAAAATAACACCAACATTGTAGCATGCATAATGAATTTCCATGATTATTGACTAACGAAATATGCAATTATCCAAATCAATAATGGTAAGCCAACTTAAAAATCAGCTGAATCAAAAGTTAACAAAATGCACACAATTAAGTGAAGGAAAGAACCTCATTGACTTCTTCGGGAGGAGGAGGAAGAAGAAACTGCTTAATTTTGGAGACATCGACGGCGAGATCGATATCGCATTGCGGACATTTGAACCGAGCGAGGCCATGAGGGACATTGAGTATAGCCTTACAGTTAGCACAAGGGAGCTGCATCTTATTCGGATCGATACCTTGAGCCTGAATAGGAGTGGGAATTGATGGTCCCACCGAATTAGGGTTAGGGTTTGGCGGTGGTAGAGGAGGGAGCATCGGAGGAGGAGGCCGGAAATCCTTCAAAAGCTCAGGAGGAAGCATCTGAGGTAACCGGCAAGTAGGACAAACAAATTCCGCAACACCGGCCGCAACGGTTAAGATCAAACGGCAACCGGCACATCGGACTTGACACGGGGCTCCTCCACCGAGTAATCCGCCATTAGGCGGAGATGGGAGAGGAGGGGGAATGGGAGGAGGAAGAGATGGTTGTGACATTGGAGGATTTTGGGGTGGAATTTGGGAAGAGAAAGTGAAGATTTAGAGATGGAAGTGAAAGACTTTGGTTAACGGGAAGTAGGAAGTGAAGGAGGAGGTTTTTCAGAGATTTGGAGACGTTTAGAGCGCCAAACGCATTTTTGGGAGAATGGTTGGCAGCCTGTGTTACATCAAATTGCTCGATAAATGGACCTTCTTGGGTACTAGTGCTATGCCCGGTTTGTTTATGAACTTTTAATATAAAATTATTTTATATTTAATTTTGATTGAAAATAGAATTCTAAATTAACTTTTTTTTGCTACAAAGTCTATCTATATTTATCCAACGTGGTACAACATTTGGCGAAAAATTAAAACGCTAAATAATGTTGTCTAATGGCCTAATTATAAGTTTATTATTTGGTATTTTATCAAAAATAAAACTCTAATCAACAATCTTAATCTAAAATTCTAACCTAATTTGATTGAAAATGGAATTTTTAACTAACGTTTTTATCTTATAAAGTCTATCTAAATCTATCCAAGGTGGCGCAACACTTTGACTATTTTTATCTTATGAAGTTTATTTAATCTATCCAACGTGGCGCGACACTTGGCAAAAAGTTAGAACGCCAAGTGTCGTTGCCTCGTGACCTAGCTAAAAGTTTAGCTTTATATATTAGTTATATGATTTCAGGTGAGAGTTTGTGTGCGTGGGTTAGTAGCGGAAGCACGCTAATGGCTAAATTCTCCCTTGTCTGCATTGGCATGGGTATTTTCACCCAAAACATTTGCTCCTCACAGATGTGACATCTGTGACATTTGTCACTCTATTACTTATAGATTCATTTTAAATGTGAATTAGGTTTAACCTTTCATATTCCGGGGAAATTACAAGGATGTCCCTGAATTTGAACTCAAGCCTCCATAGAAGATTTGTAAAACTTGGTATGTTGGGATTCCATGGTGAGGGCACTCTCTTTGGTACTCCTTGTACCTCTCCCAAGCTTCATAGATAGTCTCACTACCCCTTTGCCGAAAGCCTTGAATTAGAGCTCTTGCCTTGGCCGTCTTCTTTTGAGAGTAGAATCTCCCTAAGAAAGCTGTGGTGACCTCATCCCAAGTCCTCAAAGAATTGGGTCTCACCTCCTTCTCAAGCCATTCGAGAGCCCTTCCTATTAAGGAGAAAGGAAATAGTTTTAGTCTCACAAACTCTTGAGTGACCCCATTCACCTTGATCGTGTTGCAATATTTCTCAAACTCGTTCAAATGTGCAAGAGGGCTCTCGTGTTTTGCTCTACTAAATTGTCTCCTCTCAATCAAATTTATCATTGCGGGCCTAATCTCGAAGTCATTGGCCGGGGTGTTTGGGGGAGCAATCCCACTTGAAGCTCTATAAGCTCCCGGAGTTCCCATCTCCTTCAAAGGTCTTGGAGGTGGTGGTGGTGGGTTGTCACCCATTGGATTTCTTTGTGGTTCCGGGTTGGACTCTCTTCTTGGGGAAGTGGAGGACCGCAAACGAGATCTCCTTCTTCTTCGAAGGGTTTGCTCAATCTCGGGATCGTAAGGCACCAACTCACGATGTTGAGTCCTACGCATACGCACTCAACAAACACAATTAGTAGCAAGGCTACAAGCGTAGCCAAAAAGGAAAACAACTCTTTTTGTGTTTTTTTTAAAGGTGAATTAGACTCAAGCAATCAAATAGCAATCAACAACACCGTTCCCCGGCAACGGCGCCATTTTTGACGAGCGCTAAATCGGTCGCACAATTTAGGCTCATTCAAACACATTTATAACAAACACCTCACTCAAACAAGTACAATGGCAAGCAAGGGTTCGGTCCACGGAGAACGGGAATCAAATGCTAAATAATCTTAATGCTCAAGCTAAATCGAAATCAAGGTATAAGTGGTGATTAACTAACAAACTACAACTAAAGGTTGAATTCAAGGGATTAAAACACTAGGGGAATGGGATTCACTCAACCAATAGCAATTAGGCAAATAGGGAGGAATGAGGGTAATGGAATAGCAAAGACCACATGCAAGATCAACATCAAACGATATGAAAACAACTCAGATTACTAAGCTTAGATCCCTCATTAACTTAGCAACAAAAGATACATAATCATATTGCAATAGGTAATGAAACATTCAACTCACATTTCCATGTCGAACCAAACATTTCATGCCATCAAGTTCAATAATCTAGGTTAATTACTCCTATCATGAAGAACTAACAAGCAATCCCATATAATCAAGTTTAGTCGCAATCCATCATCAAAATCACTCCCAAACTCACATAATCACCAATAGGGTGAGTTTCACCCAACCCCTAGCCAAGAGGACTACTCACAATTCATTGTGAGTACATGCAAATTCCAAGTTTGGATTATAAGCGATTCTAAGATTTGGAAAAACAAGTGATTATCTATGGACAAAGCTAACATGCAACAACAATATATCAAGATTGAGAGAAAATCATGTGGCTTACAAAACAAAAAAATAAAATCAGAAAATAATGAAGGACAAATGAAAGAAGTTACTATTGAAGCTTCAAAAATGTTGGATAATTGCTGAAATTCTTGAGATAAATCTTGAAATTTGCTTCTACAATGATTAGATTTGAGAGTTTCTAAAACTAAATCAACTAATTTAATGAAGTTGCTAACTAAGAGAGAGTATTTTTTTTACTGAAAACTATTCTACTGTTTTTCTTCTCTCCCCCCGAAAAACGATCTCAAAAGGACCTTAAATAGTCCGTACAAAATTGGCTGAGATCGGGAAAAGGTCCGACCGAAATCTTGGTAGGTTCGGTCGGACTCAGGGTAGGTTCGGTCGAACTCTGTGTAGGTTCGGTCGAACCTCCCTGATCCTTGTTTGGTCGAACTTTTGAGGTTCGACCTCTCCTGCAAAATTGCTGAAAACTGGTTTGACACTGCCTTCACTGCACCCTGGAGGTTCAGTTAAACTTTTCAAAAGTTTGACCACACCTAGGTTCGACCGGACCTTTCAGAGGTTTGGCCACACCTCCTCTTGCACTCCCTTTTCTTGCTTCCTCTCCTTCCCTTTTGCTCCTCTTGCCTTTGTCCATGGCTTCCATACTTGGCCAAGGGGCCTCCCACCGTGCATAGGATCGTCATGGAACCTGCAGAAGATACCAAAGTTCACGAGAGCATGGGGATGATAAAATAATGCATAAAGATTATCAAAATAAGCGCAAATAAGCATTACTTTTCATCAACACATAAAGAAGCCATAAGAGGATAAATGAGGTGGAAAAAACTAAGAAAAATAAGAGGAAAAAGACCTAAATGCTACCCCTAAGAGTGACATAAATGTCACTCATCAATAAACATCCTCACAGATTCCTTTTCGGTGGGGACTTCAATCATCTTAGCGGAAGTTTCCCTCCACTTATTAAAGAAAGAAGTAAAGCCTTCATTTTCTTTTTGTCTTAGCATCTCAAGTTGTCTATGATCTTTCAACTTGAATATTGCACTTGTACCTATCAACGAAAGCGTTTGCTATCGATTCCCAGGTAGAGGTTTTCTCCTTGTCAAGGGAGAAGAACCATTGTTGGCAAACGGTTTCAAGAGATAATGAGAACAGAGAGGGAAAAACCTTCTTATCGATACCCTTAATGGTCATTATAGTTTCAAAAGCTCTTAGATGGAAGTAAGGGTTATCTGTTGCCTTGAATTTAGGGATGTCAGTGGCATTGAACTTATGCGGAAGAAGTTCCTTGTCCAGCGAGACCCCTTGCGAACTCATGCTCTGAAATTTATAGTCACTAGATAGCTTGCTTAGACTCTCTTGCATGAGATCCATCCATTGTTGCTTCATGGGATCATCGACCTTAAGGGTAAGTAGCTTCAGTGTTTCAGTCATGGTAACCAATTGGTTCCTAAGCTCATTGACTTCTTCTTGAGTTGCCATTATCTTCTTAGCCTTCCTCTTTTGATGAATTGGTTTATCAAAAAGCGAGACTTGAATAAAGAGGTTGTCCTTGATTAATCGCCCTTCTCTCCTCGACCAAGTACTGTGGAAAAGGAGTTTGGGGATACTTATTGTTAATTATTTGACTCAAACTTTATTCAACATGCAATGGATGGAGGAAGTGAAGAAAAAATGGAAGAATGTGAAGAAAGATTTAGATGGAGGGATATGAAGGATTAGGAGTAGAATGTACCCCAACTCAAATGACGGAAAAGACCGACTCATGCATGAACCTAAGACATGGCCATGGTGGTGTGTACTCAAAGTGTGTGCTAAGACTAGTGAGTGTAGGTGACATGTTAAGACTCGTGTCATGACCATGTGGCTAGACTATGTGACTAAGACTCGATTAATGACTCGACACGGTGTTATTGAAAGCGGAAATTGACCGAATTGATTAGCAAACTTGTTAATTAGACCCTAAGTGATGACTCGACCAATAATCCGAACTGTCGTCCAAGCGACAAGACTGGCGTCACAATATGGTGGTCGGCGCCAGACTTTTTAGTAAATGTCTGGCGCTACACACCATACGGTGGCGCTACAGCCCAGATTTTTGCACCAACATTGGAGCCTCGGTCTGGGATTGTTTTCGATATTATTAGTCAACTTGGGTATGCCTAAAGTCGTACTAGGTCAATTTCGATTAAAAGAAGAAAAACTTTATTGACTCGAATTAATTAATTAATTAATTAGGCAAAGTTCTTTAAGTCATTAATTATAATCTCGACACAAATTAACAAACGGTTAGGAGGAGCATAGAATATATATGCACAACAAATAATGCACAATTAGGCAAGTAAGCACAATATGATGCAATGAGTTCGCAACCTAACCATGGCTCTACTTCCCTAAAGTTCGGGATATGGTTTTGTCCAATAGGGTCCATGGTTAATTGTTCAGATGCACCGCGTAGAAGCCTAACCGTGAAGGGTTAACGCGTGTGGATTGAACACCGCGAGTTTTTTTTAGAAAAAACTCACTTCCATGGTTTGGTGAATTCAACATCTCAGATGTACCCTTTGTTGCTAGGAGCGTTCAATCGGGTAGATAGAGTATGAATTCCCAGAGGGTTATGTCCATATGTAGAACACATATGGGTTTCAGAAAAATGAGAAAAAATTCAATCAGGAAGTAGGATCGAGCAAACAATACGAAAAACCGG